AACCTGCTTGTTGATTTTAAACCCCTGTGGTTGTCTATAAAAGCCAATTCCACATATCTCAACTATGTGCTTTTGTATTTACCCAAATTTATGGCTTGTGGCCACAATAGTTTTTTTTGGTTTGGTGGGGGAGGGAGAAGGGGGCTGCATTAACTTAACTCTTAACCCTTTGTCCCTAATGAGGTACTTGCATCTAATTTCTCCTTACAATGTCCCCCCTGAATCACACTTTTAGGACACAAGAATAAAGGAAATGATCACCAACTAAACAAACTCTTGATTGTTGAACAAATTCTCCTTGTCAGTGCCTTAGGAAATGTATAGAAAATAGTACAGAGAATATGCACAGTGATGTTAGAGTAGAAAGGGTTCATGTATAAACCAAGTTCTGTGTTTTTCTTCCAGGGCATTGGGATTAACAGCCAAGGATTTACAAATTTCATCCTGTTTGTCTGGTGTACCACAAAGATAAGAGAAAAGTTAATAATGGGGTGTGTTCATTTTTTTGCAGATGTCATGAAAGAGATCAACCAGTAATAAGCAGAGAGAGGTTTTATAAAACATTTAGTAATGAATTGATACTATCATAGTTACCTGAATTACATTTATATACTTGTCATTTAGTTACATATCTGAATTATTTGCCAAGAACTAACAGTTATGACAAACGTGTTGTTACTGAAATTTTTACAACTGTTTGGTTACAACTGAGTTTTTTTTAAAACTTAACTGGAGCATGTAGTTATTTTTTACTCTTGTGTATGTTTTTCTCTATATTAAAATAAAAACTTTAATTCATTGCTTTTAAGCATTGCTACACCTCAGGGAACAACTATACTTATAAATGATATCCTCAATTAATGGAATTACGGTTGGATCGCATCATGATTAGATCGCTCTAGCCAAAAGTTAGATTGCTCCACTTGAAGGCTAGATCGCTCCATCGATGAAGTGAATTCGCTATCAAAATAAGTTACTTCGCTCAAAGTAGAAAACTAAGATAAAGGTAGCAAATCTATGGTATCTAAATTGATAGTTCATTAAATGATGAGCATATCTTACCTAACAATCGATTAATATCGCTCGCTCGCTCGCGCTTGAAATAAATCCGAGCTTCGCAGTAAGAGTAGATAAAGCCTCATGTAAGGGACTCACGAAGTGTAATCAACTTTATTAATTAAAGATGGCGGATATCAGTTTCCTTACATCAAACAGCAAAAAAGGCCACACTAGACAGTATCGGTATTTGAATGTTCTTTTTCAATACACTTCAGACTATAACGTTATAATTTATTCCACGATCATTTATTCCATCATCGCTATACATCGTACATCGGTAGCTCGGTGAATACGACATGTAAGACACATCATCAGCTATAAACTTTGAAGATCATCGGTAACTAGTAGTACCTCTCATTACAACATGGAGCGATAAACTTATGTTGGTAGCGAAGTAACTTATTTGATGGAGCGATCTAACTTTTGGTCGGAGCGATCTATCTGCGAGCGATCTAACCGTGGTGCGAGCTAACCGGATACCAATTAAAGCTGTGAATAAAGTTCAATATCAGTGGGGAATTTACTGTATGATCAATGTCTGTTCTATGGATATGCCCTGGATGAGCTTACCTTTTTTTCTCTCCTTTAGTCCTTTGGCTCCTAATTATTTCCCATACAATTTTTATGATAGCGAAATGTTTTTCGCCTAGTCGTTAGCATGGAACCAAGGAGACATTGTTTCCTCACAAGGACTCAGGATTTTTTCTTTTTGCCGCGGCCATGCTCGAGACAAGACACAAAAAAGTTCCATAATTACAATGATACTTTTCTATTCAACTTTCAACTTTTTGGTATTGGATGAACTAACAATCTCCTTATCGATGCTTTTCTTTATTCCCACTACTTTTTGGCTTGATTTTGTAAGGAGAAATTCTGTCTCGGTCACTTATAAAAGTGAAAGGGTTATAAGCCACTGTAATTGAACTGAAATCACACACCGGTCAAAAAAGTCATCATTAAGCATTAACAACACGCCATCGTTATTTTGAAAAATTTTAAAGCAGCTTGTCTAGTGACGTTTCAATTCACCCTTTAGGCTTCAGATCTCACCTGTAGTGCCACGAAACTTTTGATGTAAACAAACCGCAAAAGTTCGGCCAAAAAGTCAACCACCCAATATCCGTGTGCGAACTTCGGCCTCGACATTTTGTTGTAAATAATTTCCACTGTCGTGAAGTGTTTCTATGCTCAAAATTCCGTTCTTTTTTGTTTCATATGTTGATTATTAATCAAGCGAGTTAATATGTCGCTACCACGAAGATTATAGTAGTTCTGCGTGCGAACAGTGATGTATCTGATTAGTTATTTCCAGCGGGGGAGCTAAGCGCGTAAATTTCAAGTAATCCCACGTTTGGTAGGAAATTTGTGCCTACGAATCGCTGTAGAACGTGAGCAAGCCTTGATTACCACACGGAATTTCGTATTGTATCGTATTGTGTAAATCTTAAATCCGCTTTCTTGGAGGTCAGATAAAAAATGTTCACTTACCTATGGTTTTGGGCTGTGTCTTAAGTGGCTTAGTATTTTTCAGGACGGATGATTCCTTTGCATCTGGAGGAGTGTTAAGGAAGATGAAGGGTAGGAAGTCAGCGCCCCAGGAACCCATTATGACAATGATGATAATATTTGTAATATCAATAATAGCGCTGATGATAGTAACACTATCAACAACGTCAACGATAATGATGGCTATAATAATGTTAATGATTTAGGAAAGGTCATTAGAACCTCCAGAAGTGTCTGCTGATCACTCGATCCCAGACCCCGTGCAACATTATTTTTAATTATCAGTCATATCTCTTACTTGGTCGTGATGAAATAATCTTGTGTTCCTGTTTACTTCAGTTTCAAGGAAAAGAATTAAATAATAAATAAACAAAAAAAGAATACAATCTAATTGGACTCATTTCCGAGTACAACAATAAATCTTAAAGGTTAAGGATGGGGTAAATTAAATTCTAGTTAATGACCCTCATGATTAACGATTCTCCTCTTCAGTTTAAGAACGCGGGCTTAGAGGAAGAAGATGTTCTGGCCAACCTCACGTGACAGTAATTTATGCGTCCATCAATTCGAAGCTTCAACATCCGCCCCGGGCTTCCCTGGGCATTTGAACTTTTAAAGATTAGTTCGTTTACATAATTTTCGTAATAATGACAGAAAGAAACCGATATTTTGGTTTCTGTGCGATATTTATTAAAACTATTTTTTACCTCAATGACGATGAAAATGGTTAATATCTATCTCGCGGCTTAACCCCTGGAGAAAATGGCTACCACCAATCACATCCACTTCGGTAAATAGCTGTTAATATTCTACAAAGCTCTGCTGCATTCATGGTAAATTAATGTTGACCAACTGAAAAGTTAAAGTTTACGTATAAAAATTGTTGGACGAAGCAATACATTGACCGTTTTTGTTTAAGAATACAGTGTCGTATCAGAAGATTCGTTTAAGGACATCAAGGACAATTGAGGCTGGAGATTCTACATGACATGGACAGTTCATTTGAACTTTTCAATCCTGAAAGACCTTAAACTCCGTAAGAACTCGTTAATAATATTACCGAGATTTTAAGAAGTTCACTGATAGCAATAACAAGTTAAGTAAGCTGAAAGACTAATTTCCCGTTTTGCCAGTGCTTGGTATTCTTAGATCTTAAGCCATTCCGATGCAAGTAGTAAATATTTTCTTGAGGCTCCTTTTGAATTAGTTATTTACAATAGGAATTAAATGAATTAGAGTAAAAATAATCGCCCAAAATATTAATTTAATTAATTATCAAATTAATCCCTGCAATTCACGTTTCTCTCACTAGTTCACACATGTTAATTTTTTTCTATTTTCTTTTTCTATCTTATTTTGTATAAAAATGGTAACCGTACGTTTCGCCAACGAGTCGTTTCGCCAACTGTACTTTCGCAAACGTCTCCTGGTCAGTTCGCAAACTTTTAGAAGTCAGTTCGCAAACGTTATAGACATTTATATGTCAACCTGCTTTTTAATTATGTGGTTCAGAATACTATATTATGCGTAAATTATTGGGTGTGAAATTTAATGTTACAAACATTTACATGTCAACCTGGGTTTAACTATACGATTCAGAATACTACGATACTGACACGTTGCATGCGTAAATTATTGAATGCGAAATCTCACAGCTAATTTCTCGCTTAATTATATTTTACAATTAAATGGACAGTGAATGACTCACCAGACTGACCACAAGTCGATTGGATACAAACAGACCGCCATTTTGAAGTTGCTTTATTTAAACCCAGTCCTTTATATGATGGCTCCGACAGGTGGCAACACCGGCGATGCCAGACAGGCTTCACGAGGGAAGACTACAGGCATGCAGTGCGATCAGGAGAGGAAAACGTTTTCGTAAAGTATTGGTTAATTTAGTTAATAGTAGTTAATATAATGACTTGAAATTTTCTTTATAAGGGCAGGTGTCACTCTAGTCGCCCACGCGTCCCCGCATGTAATAAAGTAATTTAAATGAATCGGTTAATTTGATAGTAGTTGACGTCGCTTGTTTATAACGTATGCGAACTGATTTCTACAAGTTTTTGAATTGACTAGAGACGTTGGCGAATCGACTCGTTGGCGAAACCACCAACATTCATAAAATACTTGTAGGTTTTCCTTTGTGTCTCGAATACTGACTTCTGAGAAGATTGAAGTGTCAATGCAGAGACACAAAGAGAAAGAAAGAAAGACTGACATGTTTTTAAGCCTAGCTTTAGCGCTTGCGGCAACCAAAACAAATCTAATTCCTAAGGCTCCAAGGGGTGTCGCTCCAAGACGCGGTTAATGAGGAGTTTGGGGGCTATTTTACGATCGAGATCGAGGAATAACAAACCAAAGTTGACAGTTTATACGAATCTTTATTCTTGAAAGCAATCCACCACAAACCACAATCAACGATCAAAATCACGATCAATCTCACAATCAGTTGTAAACTGAAACAATAATACAAGTAAATTCTATCAATCTAGTGAAATGCTGCGAAATAGTTAATAAAAAAATTGCGCGTAAAAAACTGAGCCTTAACGCCGATAACGAGATTAGAATGACAATGAACAATACAAAAAAACCAGTACAAGCTACGTTAAAGTACAAAAGTTTCGGTACAAAAATTACGAGAATTTTGGTGGCTGGTTAACAACCCATTGTTCTTATCCAAATGGTGGACTTTCACTTTCATCTGATACAATTTTGGCTTTTTAATCTTAAATCAATTGAAAATAAGGCACTACAACAAAATGTCTGTTTGTATACTTTTGCCTAATACTGAGAAACTAAACTTAGGAAAACAAAGTTATAAAGGTTTTCACATATCGTTCCCACTTATGCCAAAGTTTTAAGAAAACGAAAGGAAGAAAGTTTACCAAGACTACTAAAAAACTTACAAAGAAGTGATTACAGGGACACTGAACTCGACTTTTATATGCGCGTGGTGACGCTGAGAGGTCCGATTACAAAACCAATAGAAATATAGACAAATAGATAAACATTGTGACTATGTTCGTATCTAGGATCATTCTGAAATTATTAAACTAATCAATAATCAATTCAATAATGAGCCTTCTGGCTAGTGTCCTTAACACTGGCACTTTACTGACCGCAGTGAGTAACAAACCAAATCAGTGAACGGAAACTTAGTAAATATCAAAGCATTGATTCTTTTTGTTCAGTTGATTGATCTATTGTCAGACCTATATCCTATTAACGGTTTAATGCAAAAGGTGTTTTCTACAATGCTGAATTCCGTGGCTTTCAGGGGAAAACATCTATCCATTCGCTGTCTCGTTCTTGGGTCCTCAGTTTATTTAAAGGAGCCTCCCAAGAATCTAGCTTGCTTGCGCACTCCCCCGCACGATTTATTTCTTCTTCTGCCTCTTCGTTTCTTCCAAGAGCACAAAGAACTATTGACATGGCTTGATGGGTGTGAATCAGCTCGTCCTGAGTGTCTAACACTTTTTCTTGGTAATCAACTGCCTTTTTCAGGTAGTGGAGGGCTCTAAGAAAGATGCAACGTCAAATAATGAATTTCCTGGACGTTTTTCCTCCAAAAGAGGTTTCACATATCTGCTAGTGTTTTTACCAAGCGAGATTCACATCCATATGATACATTCTCTTAGGAAATGTTACATCATTCCCCGTCTTACTGTTCAAGAAAGAATTCTGCGATGAAAAATATTTGCGTCGTGATACAGTCTTTGAGATATTTCACCTTTGAGTCATTCACTGCAATTTGCTAAACCAAAATACAAAAAGTTTGAGGTCGTACGGGAAAATTGACTCGACAGCAGCAAAATTAGAAAATAAGGACGTGATCTAACAAGCAAACAACACACGCATCGCAATTGTCGCTACACTACCTGAAAACTTGTCGACGCGGCACGAATACAATGAAACATTTTTGGAACAAATGAGCACACCTCGAAAGTACTTTTTTCCCCTCGTTCTGGACCACCATGTCTTCCTCTAATCTTTTAACAATGGGAAATTCATGTAAACTTGACATTTTGACGGAGTTGCATTAATTACGATGAAAAGTTTAAAGAAACAAAGGCACGAAGAATAAATGCTTTTGTAAGGGTCGATATTGCTTACACTCGATTTTGTTGTTAACCTTTGCTTAGAGGGTATCGGATCTACAAAATGCCTTATAATAAATAGCAAAGTATGTTTACTCACGTTTCATAGTCCTGTTTCGCGCTGTAAGCCACACCCACATCATACAGAGACTTCGCAGTTTCCTGATGTTGCCCCAACAGTTGCCTTCGGATTGAAATTGATCTGCTGCTGTATTTAATGGCGTTGTCGTAGTCACCCAAGGCGTGGTAACTGTTACCAATCCAACTAAGAGTGGTTGCCGTAAAAGGGTGGTCACCGAGGTTCTCTTCATAAACAGGAAGGACATGTGACAGCCTTGTTTGGATGGCCAGCATATGTTTTCGCTGCACCATTTGAGAAGCTGCGAGTCAAAAAAAAGCGATCAACCAGAAGAGTGTAATGACACTGGCGATTAAAATGGCCAAATTTCAAATAAAAATAGCCAGGGATTAAGGAAGATACAATAAGGCGAGAATGGAAAAATATATATTTTTTTATTTCTCTCCTCTCCACATGCTAAAACTAAGAATATTGCGTAGTTTGGACGAGAACTTAAAAAATGCAAGCTCTCTTCGATAATTTCAAATCAATTTCTCTTTTATTTTTAGCCCACTTCACTAATCAATTTTGAAATTCACCGCCGGCGGCGCAGTCAAGGTCCCGGATATGTCTTTGCATTCTGAGCGATGATGTAGTTACACTGCACCATTTGAGAGGTTGTTGTTCAAAAGAGAAAAAAAAAGAAACCAGAATGATGCAAGGTCGACAGATCGCCTGTCTATTTTTAAAACTGCGCTTTTTATTTAACTTACAAGACCCGCATTAGCCATACCAATTGAGTACTAGAGTGGTGAAAGAAAATGGCCTTGAGTTCTTTCTACACACCAGCATATGCCACCAACATCACCTCCTAATTGTTGCATCAATTTATCTAAATGGTACTTAAACAATTTCGTTCGTAATGAAGCTTGTGCGAGGTGCTCGTGGATCTTATTGCTAGCTTTCATGGAAAAGATTCAATGGGGATAACTTTCCGCAGATGATTCCCTTCACGAATAGCTCTTACCATGAAAGCATTAAGAAATTAATTGCCACTAACCTGCCACATCGTTGAAACAGGCAGCTAACATGACATGATCTTTGATCCTGTTTAGTTTCTCTACTCTGTCCCGTCGCAATTTCAAGGCCATCTCGAGATATTCATAGCCCTCATCAACGCGCCCCTCGCGAACATAACAAAATCCAAACTTGCTCATGCACTGGGCACGAGTGGTGTCCTTCACGTCCATAAGTGTTGATTGAAAGTCAATTGCTTGAGTCAACATTTCTCTGGCCTGATACAAGGCTCTTGGACAAATGTGAGGGGTACATGTGCAGCTTAACACTATCTTCATTCCGATGTTCGTCAAGCAAGCACTGTAGAGGTGCAAGTGGGAGCGACATTGATACGCAAGCTTGCAAAAGAGCGACTGAAATTCTTGTTTGCGCATCACCTTGGCAAGAAATCCAGCTGCCTCGTTAAAGGCGTCGATGCATTGCTCCCTGAAAGTTTGGTCAAGCTCAGGGTGATCGTCTCCACACCAAGCCATGGCTTCCCGAATGTTGTCCTTTTCAGATCTGTACTGATCAATTGCCAACTTGCAATCTTTACTCAAGAATGTTTCGCAAAGTGTAACAGCCAAGTCACTGTAATGACGAATGAAAGTTGATTTGGCGTCTATGTGATCGGACTTCAGTGAAAAGAAATCTCGTATGAAAGGATGGAAGGAATACTGACAATTTGTCCTGTCGAAGCGAAGGAGGTTGCTATGCCCCAAGGAATTTAGGCAAGTTTGCAAATCAGCCGTGACAGATGACCCAAAGACTGCTTGAAATTGCTCTTGCGTGAATCTGTGTGGAAATGTTGAGAGCATCAAAATAATCTTCTGATTTTCTTGACTTAAGCGATCAAAACAGATTTCAAGAGATTTGGCGATGCGATCCTCGTTGGCTAAAAGTTCTCTAGCAAGACAACTAGGTGAAGTTGTGGAAAGTTGGGCCGCTTTCTGGGGATTTTCTCCCTTTAGAATCGAGATCACTGTGCAGATCATCAAGGGAATACCACCACAAACGCTGACCAGCTCCTTAATCAGATCGTCGTCCAGGCCATCCTCACACTTTGAGAACATAGAGGCTGAATCATTGTCATTCAGAGGTTCTAGGTTAATCAGTTCGAAAGGAAGAGACGCATTGAAATCATAGGTTTCTCGTGATGTGAGGACAAGCTGAATGTTTGGACTTTGTCCGAGGTATTTTAGAAATGTCAAAAAGTCGCTCTGCGTGACTTTACCCCACATTTGAGTACAGCAATTTTCAGATTTTAATTCCTGATGGTATTTATCGTTGCTCAATTGATCCTCAAGATGCAGTAAGTTGTCAATGTTTTCAATGATCAACACAACACTTTTTCTCCTTAGAGAAGATATGCAACTTAATGCTTCAGTTATTGTGTTTTCACCAGGAACGTACCCTAGAGTCTCGATTATTTTGCTTGCTAAATCTTCTACACAAGTGACACCTCGAGGTTTAACGTACGCGACACACTTTTTCCTTTCGATCATCCTATGAGCGACCTCTATTACAACCGACGTTTTCCCATACCCAGGTGGTGCTACAATTTCAACAGCCATGTTTGAAGACAGGGCAGTTATGATACGTTCGCATGTTTCATTGCGGCCCACCAAATCCGTCCGATCTGGCAAGTTACCATAATGACCAGATTGTTCCTTCACTTCTGCAAGTGAAAAGACAGAAAGACCATTTAAGACCATTTATCCCTTTCCACTATTCATTGGAATAAAGCACAGCAGCCCAATAAAAAGGAAGCGCAACTCTGGTGACAATAAGAGTGTGAGTTTAATAGTTGCGTGGAAGTTGGTAGGAAAAACAACAAAACTTTGGATCTTGCTTTCACTTATATACGTTCCACAAACAGAAAATGCCACAGATAAACCTTTTGTAGACGGAAGGTTTAGAAGGGCTAAACGCTTTAAGCATTCCTCAGAAATCGAGCAGCTGAACTCTTTGGGTAATCGGATCCTAAGTTGGGGAAAATCGCCGTTTGTAAACGTGGTTGTTGATTTTACAATTTTCAAAACATGATTTTGGCATGAAATTGCCTTTGGCTTAAATTCAGGCGCAAACAGCCTTTAATAAGCTTTCGCATTTTGAATGCAACCATGGTGATATACTGTTCAAGATTGAAAACACCACTTGAAGTGGGGAGAAGGCATTAAACGTGAAGCTGTTAGTAATCTACCGTCGTATACAAGCTACACCGACGTAAACATCAACATATAGTTTTGCGAAGATTACTTTTTGATGAGGTTTCTACCCACTTAGCTCCTCGAATAATTGAGCTAAGTAAGGACAAGGAAATGATGACAAACCCATTGAAAATGACTGTTCCTAGTTACATAATCATAGCACAATTTCGACCAAGGCTTCTTAACTAGCTAATTCTATGAACATCACGGGTGAATTAACGCTTTCCTTCTTACCTTTGTTAGGAAAGGAATCCCGCTCTTCTCTCTCGAAGCTAGTTGAAAACATCTGACCAGTCGGATCTGGCATGGTTAAGCTGTCCTTGAATGAACGGCCAAGTCCTTGCAAGGCTGAATCTGAAGGAAGAGAAAAGGTATTCAATGTTATGAGAGGATAGCTTAGTTAAGTCGATCTTACTTCGCATGTGCGAGAGTAGTTTTACGGACCTTGAGTTGTAAAAAAAAAAAAAAAAAAAATCAGAGCTAGAGTGTCAGAGTTTAAGATGTATACATAGGACTTTTTTGTGTATAATTAATTTTTTATTGTTCCTGTTTTTTTTTTTTTGTAAGCGTCGTTGTGACATCCGAAAACAACGTAGCATGTGCCTGTACCCGAATACTTTTCTTCTAGCCATCTCTTGTACAAGGGGTACGAGGTAATGCACATTAGAGATCATGGCTTGTATAACGAAAACAAGCAGGCTTGGAAATAAACTGAAAGTGCCGCACCGAGGAGTCAAAGAGATTAGGAAAGGCAAACACTGAAATTGTCCAATAAACCCCAATGTACTTATATCAGCGAGAACCTACCAACTGTGTTAGGAAAATACTTGGATATTATCTGTATTACGTCATTTCGCTGAATCTCATCTAAAGCTTTTGCAACGTCACTTAATGCTATTTCAGGGAAGTGCGCGGCCACCCATTCTAGAACCTCTTTTGTAGGACTTTTCCTGACTTGTTTGACATCAGCAAACTCCCGACACACGTCAGCTGGTACTTCCATTTTCCAGGACAGATGTGTCCAGTTTTTGACTCCGGGATTCTCCTCTCGATTAAGTTCTAGCGCCAATCTTTCTAAGAGTTCCGATCCAGGGGTTATGATATCCTTAAGTAACATGTCATCTACAGGAAAATAAAGGTATCCACAGATCATTAGTAGTTAACTTTCCAGAAATGGTGCCTCAGCGCAGAGAGTACTTTTGTCCAATCGATTCTTGAAATACTCATGCAGCCAATTGCATATTGAGCTATTCATAGTTAGGGACCACCTGAAAAATAGGAGAGTCTGACTTTTCTATCGATAACCTAGAAACAAAATCCAGGCTGCAAAGGTGCTAGGCGTCGTTAAACTTAAGTTATTTGTGATGCAGTGTTCGACACTTTACCTCTCAGTTTCTCCTCATGAAGAAAATTCACCAGATCCTTTCTCTTAATAGAATCCAGAGCTTCCTTAAGACTTAAAAGTGTCTTTTTGTGGGCAAGTTGTAGCCAAATGCTGGAACAATCTGCCGGTCGGATTTTCAGTCGATCGTCTCTCAAACGTCCAGCAGGTTTTTCTAGACACACCCAGTTTTAACGCCAAGGTATACCAGTTTGACAAAACCAGTGACGTCCTGTCTAAAGCTAACGCAATTTCGTCCAAAAGACTAACTGTGGGTGAAGGAGCTTCATCACTTGGCGAAGTGATCACATCAAGAACTCTTTCAGTGTCAGTGCAACCGGCTGATAGTCAAACAAATTAAGAGAAACATACTCAGTATGAATTCCTGAGAACCTTTTTGATAAACTGCCACACACAGAGGAAAAAATTTAAATAAAAAACAAATAAAGATACGTCACACTCGTGATGAGCAGAATTCCATGCACTGTTTCACAATACTCACAATTCTCCCTTATATAAAATTGAACAGCTGTGAAATGTAGCCAGGAAATTACTTAGTTATTAATCCAACATAACAATCCTTCAAGTTTTCAAAAGCTCCCTAAAATCTATTAAATTTAGACAGTTGATCAATGGGTCATTTTTCAGTGAGCTAATACCGTCCCAAAGAAGTAAAAACAACACCAACAAGGTTTACTAACTAACAGTATCAAAATCTGTGTCTGAGGAGATACAGCAACCTCCAAACGTCCCATACTGAAAGTCCTCTTAAAAGATGACAGAGACAGAATAGCAATTGACTTCAGTCAATTTTGTGTTATACCTCTTGTGATCAGTAAACTGATTAGGTCGTTTCTCCCGATCTCTAATAGGATGTCTTTTAGCTCTTTAATCGTCAAATCTGGATTCGAGGCCGCAAGATAATCAAATAATCGGATGGTAGGACTGAAGTCACCATACTGTCCTAGTCGTGTAGTCACATCCGAGTCGACATCCAGTATTGATGCCAAATGTCTCCAATTACGCATCACTCTCGTATCACGGTCCAAGCACAAACACAGCTCTTCTATAAACTCTGAATTATGTCGTAAAATGGCAGATAATTTCAACCCTAAACATGACAGAAAAGTAAAACAAAATGAAGGATTTATTCCACACTGCTAACTGAGTGATATGAACTATCATTGATATTGCAGGGAACAAGCTTCAGTGTGTTACTGAGCACGAATCATTTGAACCCATGTGTTCACTATAGCCGACGTCTATGAAAGCAGCCCTCGTTAGCATGCACTAAATGAGAAATGAAGTCTTGAAGATTATCCGTCAAATGAGTAAGCACCGACAGAATAAACATTTTTCATAAAATTCATGCAAACAAAATGCTAAAGTTGTTAGCAAGTTAGTCTGATGCGTTTCGTAAGAAACAAATGCAGTTCGTTGTCAGCCCTTTTATTGCATGTGGTGTTGAAATCTTTTCTTATAAGGGTGAACTTCACCACAATATTAATTGTAAATATACCTCTTTAGTTTGTATGCTTTGTTTTCTTAATGTAGGTAAGTTTTTGAGTAAGTGTGGACATGAACGAGAGAAAGTTGAACGAAAACGGCAATTATTTTCCAACTCCTGAGGAAAAGTTCTTTTAATAAAAGTAAAATTTTTCTAAACTGTACTTCCCCTTTAATGCCTTTTGTGTGGTTTAAGGATAAAACTGATATCAACGATACCAAAATGTAAACGGGAAATGCAGTAGCTTCTGTATCAAAATTGTTCAAAAAGACGAATAATGTCGATTAGCATCCTATCAGCCATGACAATGCAAAATTTCTAAAGCTCAATGAAGCATGGACGCGATGTTAACCATTAACATTCACCTAAAGACAAACAATGCTTAGAAACAACTCAGTCTTATTCTTTTAGAGTATTAGTAACCCACGCGTTTATCTGACAGCCAGAGCGTGTCATTACATGCACGACCCGGCGTTTCAAATGTCACAATAGCTGGTGTAAACTTTCACACAAATCGAAAACACTTCGAATGGAAATATTCTTGTCTGTGTTAACTCATACATCTCTTAAACTATTAAACACAAACAATATTCTTCTGATCGCGAGCTCAACTAATGAGTACAAAGCCGTTTTCGAAACTGTGTAGCCAGTTCTTTTAAATAGCTTTCGCCTAAGTTCCGCAATTACACAAATTCTAGACATTTAAAACCTGGAAAGTTGTTGGCCCTCTTGCAATCATTGTTAACGTTGGCGGTGTTACCTGCTTCCATTGAAAGCAGTGATTCTGGACTTATTTTGAAATTACAAACATTTTATTCGCAACTTTGAATAATCGTGACTACGGCCTAGATGTCTAAAACTTACGAATGCATTCAGTCATGATTTAGAGCAAAAGAGGTTAAATCACTTTATTTGAAAGAAACAGACGAGAATTACTTACCAGTCGATAGACCTCTTTTACGCAAATGAGCCATTGTAAACTATAACTGCTGATTTTTTTCGGGTAACGTCGTTCTACTGTAAATTCAACGTCACGAACATAATTTTGACAATTGCATGTACTTGATCAATGTCGGACCCGTAGTGCATTTACAAAAATCTCTCCTTGGCAAAAGGACTACGGCGAAGAACTCGAGATTGAAAAGTACTTCAGATGTATGCTGTGCGGCTGGAAACCAGTCAAGTGAGGGAGGAAGGTGTACTTCTCAGTGGATAAATTAGATTAAGATAAACCCAACGCTGAACCGTAAACAAATTATGCGGCTACTGATGAATATCCTTGGGTGGGGTAGGTCCTTCGCTCGTCGTTACATAGGTAAGATTTGCTTGACTTGAAATTAAGAACAAAGCTTGCACCAATGGTATCTTTATTAAACTCTATGCTCCGAGACAGGTAAAAAGCTCAACCAAAACTGAATAAGAAGGTACGAACCAACTTTTCCCCTCCCTGAGTAGTCTCGACCCAGGCCCTCTTTTCCAAACACTTAAATATCGTGATTAAAGCCTGTTGCCATGGCTTGGAATGTTTAGATAGCTACGCGCCGACTCGTGCCTAGTGCTTTGTGCGGCTTGTGCTTCACTTAAAAGAAAAAAAAATAGGCAGTTAAGACTGCATATGGCTACTGATTCAGCGCAATTTTTGTAGCACTGAAAATAACTAGAGTTTGAAGAATGATTTTAAAAGGTAGTGGCGTTGCAAATGAAGATTTGTTTCAAAACAGAATTGAAAACCTACCGCATCCCACATATTTACGAGAACTCTGTTCCACAAGAGAAAGATGATTGAATAATAAAGTGACTAATTGACATTCAAGCAATGAATAAAATGGTAACTACTGATCATATTAATGATAATATTAATGATAACAATAGTAATAGCAATGATTATTTATAGGGGCTGGCGCAAAAACCTTACTGTTCCTCTATCTGTCTATTCAATAGGCTTTAATAGTGATTAAACTATGCCTCTTTTAATTTTGCCTATTAATTATAAATTGTTTTCTTATTTCATTGCAATTCCATTTTTCAGGTGAGACTTTTGCTTCACACAAGGCATTTCGCGTTGCAGGATATTCTGCCATTCTGCCATTTCAACATCCATCATTCCGTCGATAGGGTCAATGTGTGGACCTCGCTTTCTTAGCAAATTTACCGGCTCTTTTAGGCATAAGTCGCTAATTAAAATGATAAAATATTCTCTCTTCGAGTGAATAAAATCTTTCTTCAAGTTTTCCACGATCTGCTTATCAAACTTATTTGGGTATTTCTGCAAGGTGGCATATCCTAAGATTTGATAGAGCCACTGACACAGACAGGTTCAGAGGAAGATCCGAGACAAGATTGAGGAATACAAAAAAAGTGGTACCGAAAAAAAGGTGAAAAGGGGGGAACATACGGTGGAATGAGCCTGGTTGGAAGATGAATTGCTAGAGGAAAGAGAAAAACGACTGACTCCTCTTCATTGGCCATCCACCATCACGTCCTTTTCACAAGGCTTCTAAAGAGGTTGCCTGTTGGTCTTTTCATAGCTATCGTACCTCGGCATGCAAGAAAATATTCTCTTGACCTCAGATATTTTCAAATCAGAGATACCGAACAATAAGCCGCTTAAACTTGGATAGCTGCATTTCTCGTTGGGTGAAAAGAGAAAATTTTCCCTTTTTAAATAATACTTCCTCGCAAATCCACTTCATGAGTGAAATGTTAAGTTTGAAATGTGAAGTAAGTTTTTCTTAAACGAACTGTCCATGGTTGCGTGACGCATGATTAATTCATAAAAACGTTTCCTTGTGACCTCCTAGTTGTTCACAACAGACAACAACCAAGTTGTGTAGAGTCTTTTCGCCTTAAAAAAGTCTAAGGAAAAACACTCTAAGCAGTGTTCAAACATATTTTGCAAAACAAAAAGACAAGAGTTGTGCCTTAGGATAAGATATTTTCCATTCAAGTATCCTCTCCTCTTTTTTTAGCTGAGTACTCACTCAAGCATGAACTGACACAAGCTAACATGGCACTGAGTCACCATCGATGTTCAAGTCCTTAGGCCGAACGAACCCAAAAAATACTATTTTTGGTTGAGATACAAAAACATCAAATTTTAAAGAACAAACGATTGAAAAAGTAAATAAGTTTTTTATGATGCATGTTATCGGCTAAATTTTTAAAATTTGCACGAGAAGTGATTGGGCAAATCTTAATTTGCATACATGTACGACAGGGGCAACTCATAATGTACGTCCTAACTTAGCACTGACCATGCACTTTTCGTCGCTGATTCAAGCGTTAAAACGACACCAATATTAAGTTAAAGATAATGTGAAGTATTCCACGTTACGAACTTCCGAAGCTGGTTTTACGGTATTACTAAAATTGTGTCATATATGGTTAGAAGAAGAATGTAATTGACTTTTCATCGGTTCGTTGCGTCTCGCGACTCCTTCGCTGAAGCAATTTGATCACGCAATTACAGACCGTATTTTATTGTACCTAAGACGTTACAGCCTCAGATCCTTGTATTGACTTTTCTCAGTTACGTTTACTACGTTTTATAGAAAGATACTGAGTCTACTTCCGCCTATATATTTCAAAATATATTGCGAAATTATTCACTTATTCACACTAAAACTAAAACCCGTAGCCTTTTCTGAGCATTTTTCTTCATATAAACAACGTTACCAGGTTTTGATTAAACTTTTTCTTATAAAACTACCACCACAAAATTTACCAAAAATTAGAAGCCCCTGCGCAGTGACTCGATGATAATTTTACTAGGCGTCAAGCAGAGTTCCGTTGCGAAGTTGTCGATTCAGCTATATTCCTCCTCAAGTATTCCTAGCTAGATCATAACAGTCAATAGTTAAAGCAACTCATTAAATCACTCACCAACAGAAAGATCACCAACAGAAGACATCTTGAAGTTTTGGCCACTGAATTTTCTCAGTTATCTTCACTCCAGCGGTTATGAAGACGAATTACTACACAGACGATGTTTGTCATGTAGATCCACTAGCTGTTGATGAATCAGGGCTAGGACAGTCCTTTTGGCATCTCTCTTGGCTTACTAACGGACAATTAACTTCATAAATGCCTCACAATTTTCGGTTCAAATTACAATAAACGTCGACAAGGTAACAGCATCAACTAAAGGAAGCCTGATCAAAGGTCATCTACTAATGTTCCAGAATTCCCAAGGGTAACCCGGCAAGGCGAAACGTCACCAAATAGAGTACAGCCTGAGATAAGATCAGGTCTCATCGTGATTTTAACCATGCAACTCTTGGTCACGCTGACTGCGATGAAAATTTTGAAATGAACACGAACAGATGAAATTTCCACCAGACAAACTAAACGCGACCGAAATATGTAAACCGCCTCCCCTTCCCCTCCCTTACCCAGCCTCACTCTACCCAGGTCTTGTGTCCAGCATTTTCACTCATGTCTGGCAAGGACATGTGGGAGCTCATAGTAACTAAACGCTGCAAAGATGTCGGGCATAACCGCACGAAATGTTTACAGTACATGCATAGACATGTCGCCTCAGACTCGTCACGCAATGCTCCTCCTCAACGAACGTCGAGGAAGGGCGTTGCGTGACAAGTCTGAGAACGGCTGCGAATGAGACTAAAGCCTAGGGAGAGAAAGAAATTTTTACCAAAGGTATGAGAGAAAGTAAAAAAGAAAAAAAAAATCTACTCTTTCCCTGTCCCTCCCAGCACTCTAAATCAAACATAGTCGGTCGAACGATCGTGAGCTTGTAACGTTGACCTGCCCTAATGAGACGCCTGGAATACAGGTTAGACATAGGCTATTTACTGACTTCAAGGTTGGTTGATCTGCTTCCAATTATTAGAGGGATTCCGTGATATAATTGCAATGTGACTTAATTAATATCAACATGGCGCGGTGCTGGCAAAATGATGGTGTACTGTACATGGTAGTCATCGTGATGGACACGTGATCTCTACCATTTCATTAAGTTCGGAAACCTCTCAGCTAAAACGAGGATTGCAAGTATTCTACTCGCCAGTTTTCTCACTCAAAGTACTCTGTAAGGGTGAACGATTTGAAACGGATCAATATCTGCGCTTTAATAAGCGAATGTACAAGGTATCAGTGCATCTTTAAGTTTATGTTTGACGGGAATTTCCCGTGGGTCATCGTAAGATTGAAAGGAAGATATCAAATCTACATGTGCGGATCATGCGAAACAAAGGTTGCGATTTCTGTAAAGAGCAATTGTTAGACAGTTAAAATTTTAGTTTTGGGTAATGCACGATTCTGCAACAAGAATCGCGGTTTGATGGAGTTTCCAGGCAGTTTAACATCTACGTTTCCCAATGACACAAATTTCACAGACGGAACTCTTCGTAAGACCTTGTCTACTGTTAATCTCACTCAATCTTTATCACGTTCTGGATGTCGCCCGACTTGCGAACTACAGCTCGCAGAATGATCATGTTTATAACAAATGAATAAAGGGGTAAGTTTCTAAAGAAACTGTGGTGCTGCGTCGGTGGGAGAGTATAGCAGGTAATTTAGTGTTAACAACTGGGTTGAAAACGTAAATTAGCCACCGTAAAGAGTAAAAAAGCTGACGTTTCGAGCGTTAGCCCTTCGTCAGAGGCCTTCGTCAGTCGCCGATTTCCTATTTGCTGGCACAACCATCATATTTGGAAGACACATCGGGATCAACAGGTTATTTCGTTCCAACACTTGAGGTGACACTACCACGAATTATGGCGCTAGTGTTTCATCGCTTATTTGGACAGTTCATTTGTCCTTCTTTTTTTACTTAACAATTTGTAGAAGAATTTCCATGAAATCAGAAAGATTGTTTTTAATGTTTTTCACGTAACGGCTTGGGGAGTACCCTTTGTGATCACTGTGGTTGCTTATTTCTTCAATAGTTAAGTTAACTATTGGCAGACCTTGAAACTGGGTACAAGTGCTAGATCCGGAATGAAAAAACTTGGCAGACAATGTGCATCTGGACAACTATTACAGGAGAAGGCTGGGCCATCATGACATGCATCACCATGACTGTGTTCTACCTACTGGTCAAGCAGCGCATAAGAAGAGAGGTATTCAAAAAAACTTCAATAAGGTCAAAAACATTTGATTAAAATAGTGCTCAGAGGAATAGGTTAATTCTGCACTCAAGCTGGGTGGCCCATCCAAGTGGAGCCAATCCTGGTTTCTGTTGCATGAAGCCAGAAGGGTGCCAATCCATCTCAGGGTTATCCTAATAAGCTTTTGTCAGGCTTTTACAATAGTTTGCCAATAATCATTTCTTTATATCCCCAAGAGGAGAGAAGCATGGGGAGAGTTCAATATGCATAGTATCCAATTTCTTCTCACATTATAACCCTTATATCAAAATCAAATCAAATTAAAAAAAAAAAACAAATTCTCCCAGCCATTACCTTACATTAAAAGTTTAATGCCAAAAAAATATAACATAATAACCAGTCAGCACTCCAATTGGCACTTCTTTGTCAAGTCTTCAGAGCATTACCCAGTAGCTGGGCTAAATTTCATTCCACTGAGGATATGAATGAGATGAGATTCCTATCACTTTATTGGTATACATATCCTTGTTAATAAGTTGGGAGAATTTGGTGTTAGATCAAGATAACAACTTCTACCTGATACATTTGAGTATTCACATCACCTGTTTGTTGGATAGTGCATGGATATTGTAGGGAGAAATTACTTGTTAATCACTTCCAGGAGTTAAAGGGTTAACTTAATACTGGTAACTAGTAACTTGGTTCTCTTTCTCAGACTCTGCCTACTCTCCTTCACTTAGCACCTGTAGCTCCCTTTTTCTCTTTGATAACCTCATGGTCAGTCTAGCTGGCAGAGCTACATTATAATGAACAATTTCTTTTCTCTTTTTTTTAGCTGAAGTCAAGATTTTCTCCAGGAAGCACATTTTTTACGTGGAAATCTGGTCATGTTGCAAGAATGATAGACTGCAAATTAACATTTATTCCCATGATATTTATTCTGGAGCGTATTTGGGGAACCATACGACTTTTCCTCCTTGTAACACATTTTCGCAATCATAGAAAAGAAAATGTTACTTTACAGAGGCTTGAAATTCTTCATGTCAGTCCACTGCCCTATACTATCACTGAAACACTGATTGATGGAACTGTAATATTCTTGTGTTATTCAATGCATCAGTAAGATTTAATTGCTAAATTACAAACATATTGTCTTCTTTATGCTCTGAAGAGTTTGCAGGCCCTGATTGTTTGAGGCTTGGATAACACTATCCATTGGGTAAATCTCTGTCTGGTGGACAGTGCAGTGCATTTTGCAATCACTTATCTGCTATGTGAGAAACCTGCTTGTTGATTTAAAAACCCAGTGGTTGTCTATAAAAGCCAATTCCACATATCTCAACTATGTGCTTTTGTATTTACCCAAATTTGTGGCGTGTGGCCACTATAGTTTTTTTTCAGTTTGGTGGGGAAAGGAGAGGGGGGCTGCTTCTTAACCCTTAGTCCCCAATGAGGTACTTGCATCTAATTTCTCCTCACAATATCCCCCCTGAATCACACATTTAGGACACAAGAATAGTCGGAAATGATCACCAACTAAACAAACTCTTGATTGTTGAACAAATTCTCCTTGTCAGTACCTTAGGAAATGTAAAGAAAATAGTACAGATAATATGCACAGTGATGTTAGAGTAGAAAGGGTTCATGTATAAACCAAGTTCTAACTTTTACTTTGTATGTTTTTCTTCTATGGCATTGGGATTAACAGCCAAGGATTTACAAATTTCATCTTGTTTGTCTGGTGTACCACAAAGATAAGAGAAAAGTTAATAATGGGGTGTGTTCATTGCCTGTCACTTTTTTGCAGATGTCATAAAAGAGATCAATCAGTAATTAGCAGAGAGAGGTTTTATAAAACATTTAATGATGAATAGATACTGTCAGTGCTCATGCTCTGTAGTTGCCTGAATTACATTAAATACTTGTCATTTGGTTATATATCTGAGTTCTTTTCCAAGAACTAACAGTTATGGCAAATGTGTAGTTACAGGAATTTTTCACAGTTGTTTGGTTATAACTAAGATTCTTTTTATCTCTTAAGTGGAGTATGTAGTTATTATTTATTCTTGTGTATGTTTTTCCCATATTAAAATAAAAAAACTTTAATTTATGGCTTTAAAGCATTGCCATACCTCAGGGAACAGTTATACTTATGAATAATATCAATTAAAGCTGTGAATAAAGTTCAATACTAGTGGGGAAAGTACTGTATGATTAATGTTTGTTCTTTGGATGAGCTTACCCTTTTTTTCCCCTTTTTATCCTTTGGCTCCCAATTGATGTCTGCCATACAGTTTTTATAATAGTGAAATATGTCTTTTCTTCTTGTTGGGAATGTGGGACAGAGAATACATTGTTTCCTCACAAGGACTCGGGATTTTTTCTTTGTCCCATGCTTGGGACTAGGTACAAAAGAGAAAAACTCAAAAAGAAAAAAACCGAGCTCAAAAATTACAATCTTTCTTATTCTAATTTTGTAATTTTAGTATGGAGAATTTGGTATTGGATCAACTAACAATCTCTTTATATATGGTTTTCTTTATTCCCATTACTTGTTTGCTTGATATTGTAAGGAGAAACTCTGTCTTTGTCACTCATAAAAGTGAAAGGGTTATAAGCCACTGTAGGTGACCTAACCTGACCTGGTCGCATTTGTCATTTTATTGTGAGGTTTCATCTCACTGATATCAACGGACTTCCCTATGGGTTGTTCAGCTCGGTTCAACTGTTTGCGTTGGCCAGAACAGCGGCCAAGTTTACTTAGACAAAGGGTATGAACAAGAGATGAGTCATCGCCTAGATCCCATTGTATCCTGTCTGCATTTTCCCATTTGTTGACTGCTTTTTTACTCAGACTTTCGCATGCACAATGTGAAAGAATGCTGTCGGCCTCCGCTGTTAAGCAGTCACTTTCCTCTTTTGATCTTTTTGTAGGCATCAAGACTAATAAATTTGTCTTTTCGGAAAACCTTGGCTAGAAAAGGAGTAACTTTGACAGCCGTGTCTAGGCACTGTTTTCGAGTCAGGAAAATACATGGAGTCTTCCAGGTCCTGCCCAATGTTGAATCCATTTTTCAATAACTGTTGGACTGCATGGCAACATTGTTTGGACATGAACAGAGTGTAGAGACCCTGTAACATCTTCAAATGTTTATTGTTGAACAATTTTTTGGCAGATTGGTAATTTGGTTTGCGCGATCAACACAAAACGACTGGATAATTAATTTTTGTGAAGGTGATGCTCTTGAGCCTTGCTGTTATATTGGAGCATTGTGTATCTACAAGACCTCGCAGAAACATCTTCAGGTCGTAGTCGAACCGGTGACTGAATGAAAGTTTAGCATCTCCCCCAATGAATTTTCTAGGGAACACTGCCAACCACACAAGGTCAGCTTGCTGGTTAGGTTTAAGACGACTGAAACAGGTCCCGAGACGATAAAGAGGCTGGTGGAAGGTTGGAAGTTTGAATGACTTCAGCGTTGCAACTGGACTTGTTTGGAATGCACTTAAAAGTGTCTTAGCAGAACTTCCTTTACTAACACAGCACCTGTAGTACGCAGGACTACCGACAATCCTCCGCAGTGATGCGGGGCCAACCGTTTTGTTTCTCCCGCCAATTGACCTGAATCTACAGGGCCACGAGCAACTCCTTAACATCAACTGAGGAAAGAGAGTCCAGTAGTAGTAAGTCCATCACTTGGCGGGATGTAATCATAAGTTTAACCCGAGGAGCACTATACGTGCCACAGATTCCAAGAACATCAAAAATGTATATTCATCAGCCGAAATATTGTCTTGAGCATTACCTAGAATGATACTCTAATTAATTACTTTACTAAGACAGTGCCTGGCTTGCTCGATTGGTCTATCGCCAGCACAAATTTGGAAAGCCCCAAGGATGGAGTGAGCCGTGCCACTTGTTGTCGAGCGAAACGTAGAACACATCTACCTTCCCCTGAGAAACCACTTTTTTTTTATTGAAATATAGTTCTTAAAACGCGCTCTAAGCATTTGTATTTTCTGGAAGCCAATTGAAATGCGCGTCAAAAAGCACATGAACCAATCTAAATTATGGATTTTGGACAGAGGAGAGAACATAATTGAACTCCTAGAATAGCTGTGATGATAAGAGGGTTAAAGCTTTTGTACGTATTAGCATTCTTGAGGAAAGCCAGAGACATCGTGATATTGTGGTTTGACAATCCTTATCATTACTGAATCCTTGTAATCCTTATCATTACTGAATCAACGCAATTTTTAAGAAAAACTTTGCTTCTGCTTTTTTTCGATGAACAAAAACAATTTCAATGATAACCAATATGTTAATCAATTTCTTTATTTATTCAAAACTTAACCAACAACTAAATGTAATCATTATCCTGTCACAAATGAACTCCGTATTTCCATAGGTTTGTTCAAAGTTAAATCACAGACGAAGCGATTATGTGGAAAGAACTGAAAAGTTGCTCTTCACAGGAAGACCCTAAATGACTAGTGTGTGTTCTGTACTTAAGTTCTGAAAAAACACTATATCACGGGATACATTTATGCCTTAGGTGATACAACGCTCTTTCCGATCGATCGGCTGTCGTAAAACTGGAACTAAATCAATCAGCATGAAGGCTCACATGGAGACAGTAAGAGTTTTAAGTGATGACAAGCAAACTACTGATGCGATGGAAAACGTGACTAGTTTAAGTTTTAGGTCTGGGATTTGTAGTTGGCGCGAGATTTCAGACCAATCAGAGAGCGAAGGAAATTAGATACAGTGCCTTATTTCAGCGATTACTTTCTACACAGTAATAAAAACTTTTCGTGGAGGTCCCGACCAAATTTCTATGGTATAGTATTATTTCTCTTTCTTCCTCTCTCTCCCTTCCTCTCCCTCCCCCAACCTCTCTCTCTTTCACTCGATCTCTCTCAAACACAGCAACATTTCAGTGAATAAAACCTAACTTTTGTAACTTTATAACTTCAACAATAGTTCGAAGAATTGCCATACAAAAGTGTTGCTTCTCGCCCACTTTAAAAAGCGTCGACCCTGTTTCCAATTTTATTGGGAAGATTGTCTCAGTAAGGTATTATTCGACTGTGTCTTACAGCGAACAAAATCCTATGTCTTTTCTCTTCCCTTGAAGCCTTATCTAAGACCATGGGACGAGGAGATGAAGTCGCAAACGCCAGCTTTTAAAAATGTACTCCGAATACTAAAAACTTTTCCGCCCTTATCAACGTCGCGCCCATTACTCTACTCACTGAGCGAAAAAGTACATAGGCTCCTCTGGAAGCCACCGTTATGCTAAAGAGGTCAACCGATGCGAAAGTATAACTTAAGATCTATATTGAAGCTAATGGTTAAGAATAGCTCTAAGTTCAACTGATTATTTTCCGCACTGAGTTGTTCTGATCGGTACTTGTATATCAACAGTTTCAAAAGATACTAAAAGTATAATCAGGACTCGGGCTGGGGCTCAAAAACAGACGAGCACACCCGTTGGGCCAGTAGATCCTCTCTTTTGGCTTCTTCGTGTCGCCCAAGCTTTTTTAGGATGTGAGCTATCTCCCTGTGAGAACGTTCTGTCTCCTGGTGGTTTCCTAACACTTCGTCTTGGATAGCGAGGGCACTTCTAAGAGCTTCGAGAGCTTCATCCAATTCTTCTTTCATGGCTAAAGCCTGGTGATTGAATAATTTATTATTAAAATTCTGCTGAATTGCTAACTCACAATAGTGTTTAAGGGGCCTTAAAAAAGCTGAAACGGGTATAGTCAGTGGAGTGATAAAGAATCATGACTTTGAAGCTTAGAAATCCAATATTTGCACCCTTGAAGTTTCTGTAGAGATTCAGTCAATGAAAAGAATTCTGAGAATGGGATAAAATTTTGAAGAAAGAACAAATATATATATATATATATATATATATGTTTACCTTTCCAAAGTCATAGAAAGACCTTGCTGTTACTTGATGATTACCCAGAGAGTGCTTTCTTATGTGCAGTGCCTTACGCAGAAACTTTATCGCACTGCCATAGTTTTCAAGAGCTTGGTACGATGTCCCCAAGTCGTCCATCAAAGTAGCTGTGAAAGGATGGTCTCCTAGGAACTCTAGATACACCGGAAGTGAGTACTCCTCCCTGATTTTATTGGCCTCTTGATGATCTCCACAAAACGCATATGCAGCTACAAATAAGAGAGCCGCAGAAGGCTTAGATTAATCAGTTGTCTCATGAGTAAACAAAAGCATTAATCATATCAGGTATGGGAAATATTTTATATTTAAACTAAATTTGCTATTGAGGATGCTTTACTTTAGTTTTGGATGTTTTCCTCAGTTGTAAATATAAATATTAAACTGACTTTGATAAAGGGAAACCCTGCTTGTATGAAAAAGATTTGCCCATGTTCCGGCATTGAAGAGCTAAAAATATCGTTTCAATACTTGTAAACAGTCTTGAGGATATCATGTAGTTGTCCGCGCTCCATTTATGCCGCTCACCAAAAAAAAACCTGTATGTAGGTACCTCAAAGCAGAATTATTAGAGGGACTGCTAGGGAAAGCTAATGAATTTCAGAAGACTGATTTTCGCTTGGTCACGCGACTCTGCACGTGACTGTGCGAGAATAATTCAATATGGCACCAAGCTTACCATCGAGTTTTTCGTCAGTTGAACGGTTCTGCACTCTATGTGTGAAAAGAAAAATCATGCCAGGAGACAACTGATCCACTTTTGGCTGTGATTCGAGCCGGAAAAACAACGGCGCTTTTGAGTGACTTAAGTCCTGGGGAGATTTTTCTGGAAAGAGGAGCGCCTTGTGTATAAGGGCTGAAATTAAAATATTGTTTATGTGGTCCGATTACTCAGTGCACCCTTTCAAAGAGACATAATGCAAGATTTTACCTCCCAGGTCTTTATAAGCTGCTGCAGTAAAAATCCTGTTGTTCTTCTTCTCACCGATCTCAATGGACTTCTTTATCAGTAGAATGGCTTGATCCAAGTCTTTGTGCTGGCCGAAACAGCGGCCAAGTTTACTCAGGCAAAAGGCACGAATGATAGATGAGTCATCGCCAAGTTCCTTTTGGATCTTGTCAGCCTCTTTGAATTTGGACACAGCAGATGGACACGGAAGGTGACATGCACAATGGGAAAGGATGCCGTAGGCCTCTGCTGTCAAGCAGTCACCTCGTCTCTTCTTATCTCCATTTGCAATGCAGGCATTTGTAAATTTACTGTATATTCTAAGGAATTTAGCTTTTGTGAACACCTTGGCCAAGAAAGGAGTAACTTCGACTGCCGTATCGATGCACTTTTTCTCCAAATCGGGGAAAGATAGAGAATCTTTCAAGGTCTTCTTGATGTTGAATCGATTATTGACAAACTTTTGGACGGCATCGCAGCAATTGTGGGACAAGAAAACAGCGTATAGATCCTGTAACATTTCCAAATACCGAACGTTGAATAATTTTCTGGCTGAATGGTACTGTAGTCTCATATCTTCTTGGACTGCACGATCAACACAAAATGACTGAATGATATTGTGGACGTGGTACTCTTTTGACATGAAATTAAACTGGAGCATGGACTGATCCACTAGCCCTTGAAGCAACATTCCAAGTCTGTACTGAGAGAGGTGGCTAAACAGAAACTGGGCTTCAGCTGCGCTGAATGTTCTTGGGAAGACTGCCAAAGATACAAGAGCAGTTTGTTGGTCAGGTCGTAAACTACTGAAACAGATTTCGAGGCAGTGAAAAAGCTGATGATCATGAGACAATGTTGGAAGACTCGACTTGAATGATTTCAGAGTTGGCACCAGGCTTGTTTGGAACTCGCTTAGTAGAGCTTTAGCATCAATTCCTTTCGCTAAAACAGCAGCTGTGGTACGTAGAACTAACGGCACTCCACCGCAGTAGTGGGCCAACTGTTCCGCATCTTCCTCTGATACTCTTGACTCCAGCGTCAAAAGCAACTCTTTGGCGTGGTCTGGACAAAGAGAGTCCAAGCAGACTGGTAACTTATTGACAGATAAAAAGTCTATTACTTGGCGGGATGTGATCATGAACTTAACACGAGAAGCAGTTTGGGCCACAGACTTCACGAAATTGCAAAATCCATCTTTCTTTTCAGGAAGTAACATGTCGTCCACGTTGTCCAAAATGATGATGGTGTGATTTGATAGTGTGCGAAGACAGTGCTTTGCTTGCTGGATTGGGTCTGCGCCGGCTAAAATTTGAAGAGCTCCCAGGAGGGAGTTTACCATGCCATTTAATGACCTCATACTTTTGAGGGTAATATAGAACACATCCATCTTTCCCTTTGAAACCAGTTCACGTCCTACTTGTATGGCTACTGCAGATTTGCCAAAACCTGGAGGTCCTGTGATGGAAACTATTCGACAGGGATCGCTCGGAGACAGTTTCTCCTTTATGAGGGAGCGTTGCCCTTTCCGCCCCACAAAATTTGGAACCTCACAAGGAATACCACCCACGTTCTTGAATGATTTTGTAAGAGCAGCTTCTAATAAATTCAAGACAAATTAGCAATTAAATAGAGAAAATAAGCATAAAAACAATAACTTTTCCTTGCTTTAAGTTTTTCTGTTAACCATAGTAATTATAAGAGTTTGTAAACCTCCAGAGACGACTACGACCCTCTCGAATCGTATTACTTAGAGTTACTTCGAAAACCTACTGATTGCTTTGGTCACGAGGGGAAATCACTTGTTAAGTAGTTATACCAGCCATTCCTTCAAATTAGAATAACGTAAATTATATAATAAATAGCACATCAATCAAGGTTGTATCAACCTTTATTCAACTTGTGTAGTGTAGGCGAAGTAAGTAAGCTTGTAAGCTGGAGAACTTTCTGGTAAGTTGCACACTACCTTCTTAGTTTTGGAAAGACCTCTTATTTAAGTTACTCTGCAATAAACACTGTGCAATGTAAAAGTCATTTAATTCACAAATCTACGAGTTTCCACGTTAAATACTTACCTTGTACACCAAGTAGACGATTTCTGAGGTCCATCCTTCCAATGTGATAGAGCAAAGAAGACAGCATATGCTTATTTTCATCACTCGGCTCAGAGTAATGAGGGACATCGTAAAACCGCTCGCGCCGCGGGCGTTTCGCTGTTTCAAGACGACTGACTGGAATTGGTAGTCCGCACAACACATTTAGCTTCTCAAAATCGTCATCAGTTAATTCCTCCTCAATAGAAAGCTGCAACTGGCTTTCACCTGTATCTAATGGGATTAGAATATATCATTAAGGAAACTCTACAACTGTTAAACTTAATTTTCTGTGTCAAGGTAAATAATTCTATAAAGTGATCGTTCATTTGAAAAGGTTACTTTCCCTGATTTTCGGCCTCAGTTTTTATATCCTGATTGGGTAATTTGATAGATACATGTTTGAAGCAAACACGAAGCAGAAATCTCTGTTTTGATTCACTGTAATTACAATTTAATTTTGACTTTCTAACAAAGCGAAAACAGATCACCTTGATGGCTACTTAAGAGACTAGGAAAACATCTTTATTAGCGTTTTCTGTTCTAAAGTTTTAAGGGGGACTTAGTACCTTAAAAGACCTATGAACCCAATTATCGCATGGAAATAAAAAAAAGGATGATTTGAAGCTGAGCTCTCTTCATCAGAAAGGAGTCACCAGTGAAAATAGAATAACAGCCATAAAAGCGATATTTCAGTTACTGCTAGTTGCACAGTTTGATTGACTTACCTGGGATACCTCCTAGAGACACTACATGGTCTTTTAAATCGAGCAGTAACTCATGGGTTTTTTCCGTTTTTTCGTCAATCGATTCGAGTCGGTCTCTAATGTCATCATCTTGTTTTTGCCATTCTTTTAGAAGGCTTTTGTAATCTTCTTCAGTATCAGGATCCATGCATTCAGTTTTCACTTTTCTTATCAGTTCGTCATACTTCGCCCCTCCTAATCTCACCAATACTTCTCGAATGTCATTCCAATAGCTGTTGAAGCTGGTTTCATCAATGGAGGCCTTCGTGACATGCGCATACAAGGAATTTCTGAAATGTCTCACTCTTAAAATGTCTGCACCAACAGAGTGATCCGTTGGAGCTGGAGGGCGTCTCCAACCTGTTGCTGGAGGTGACAGGTTACAGATGTTTATCAAGAGCACGCACAAGGTAGATATGTCAAAATTCTCAGATGAAACCGTCGCGTGTACGGCTGGGTTCATGGAGTCCCACTGTGCTTGGCTAAGGATCCTTCTGGATCTTAGAGACTTCAGTTTAGGCATACAACTGTGAAGTATGACATGGAGATTTGCAGGGTCATGGATGTCATTGAATTTCTCTCGTAATACCTGGGAGCCCACTTCAATCAGTAGCCGACAAAGTCGTGCATAATTAGTTGCTTCCTTGGTAAATGATATTGGCGGTGGATGAGAAGCCATAATAAAGATAGCTTATAACAGCTGTGGCTTTAACCTGAAAAACATTAAACAAACAATAGTTCATGTAGCAAATGGAATTTCTGTTGTGTTCTTTGACGAGTTTGCGTGAAGTTACGCCAGGGTAACATAACCATGTGTGGATATTTATTGTCATCCGTATGCCGCCTTTCGTTTCAATCGTATTTGTGTATTATAATTTAATAATAGTAATTTAACAGTCCGGATATTTTTCTTAAGACCACTCTAGTGCCTTTCTTCCTCTCTTATTTTCTTTTTTCTTTTCTTTTTTTGTCACAGGACTTTAGCTTTTGCGGACGGGAAATGGAAAGGATCAGGATAGGTGCATAAATGTCTATTTTGCTCGTAAAAATTTGGAGCCTAAGGTCAACAGCAAAAATTATAAAATGTTGCATGAGATGGATTGTGCTTTTAAAGTTATTTTTCTCAATTCTTATCGTAGTTTTTGTCGAAATCAAGAAAAAAAAGTCTAGCAGTTGCAACAACACCTAAAAGAACAATTTCTGTCGCACGCCTGAGAGTTGACCCGTATGTTGCAACCATTTTTTTATGGTTCAGGCTGGTTATAATTGAAATAATATGACTGTAACGTAATAGGATTTTCTTAGAACATTTACAATAGTGTCAAAATATAAGCTTTTCAAAGTTTCATGTTTCTGCTTGACTTGCGTTACATTAGAGCTATTCAAACTGATTTTTGCGACGTCTCACTCGAGCATATCCGGTTCCCGGCAAAGCTGTCTTTGAAGTTTTTGGTTGCACCGACATCTTAAGTTTTATAGATATAAGAAAGGGTAAGGTTGTCTCGACCCGGTCGGGAGCAATGTCATCTTCAAGTCCATTTTCAAATAAAAATATGTTTAGGTTGACTTTGTCCTTCATCTGAACTATGAAATCATATGCTGCCGTAAGCTGGCATGAACTTATATCTACTAGTTTCTTCCTTGACGCTCTTTTCCTGTAATAATTATGTAATTAGGACAGCATCATCAACCCTATCGTTTTGCATTAGCTTCCTTAGGGTAATAAGATCGTAGCTCAACGAATCATTGTAGGCCAGGTGTAAGTTGCATTTTTACTAAAAAGAACCTCTCGAGAACCCGAGTGGTTATCAAATGACACCGGGTTTAGCGAGACAACAATAAACAAGGAAAATCAATTAAAGCATTAACAGTTGTCGTGCAATTTCTTTCTTTTCCAGCTATGTTCAGAGCAAGAAATCTTAAAAAACAGGGAACTGCCCAACCTTTATCGCCAAATTAGTGAAAGGACTATTGGAACTTTCGAAATTTATCCTTGTTAGTTGAACAAATAATCCTGTAGTGAAATAAATATGATGTGTATTGAGCCTTGTGTGATTCAGGAAGTCTGAATACTGGACTGTTTTCTCTAACGATTTAAGGGTCTTCTTGGCTGAGATACGACATGTAAACAGAAGTTTGTGTTCAAAAGCGTCACAAAAACGCGCTCGGGGCAGTTTGCACTTCCTTGGTGCCGGCCGCAGCGGCTTATAAATATCGCACTTCTACAACGCAAATGGTTGTCTCTTCCGGCGTTGATATTAATTTAGCTACTGCATAAGAGTATCATCCGTTGAATTCGTAATAAAATATATGGAAAGTAAATTAAACTTACCGAGATGGTTTACGGTTTTATAGATGGGACTTTGAACACTTATCAGGCAAGCGCGTCGTTGCTAGCGCTATCACGTTCCCGTAATCAGAAACACTACAATCGTTAACGTATTTCCAATTCCTAGAAATCATGGTCCATGGCGCTGCTGGGGATAATGACATCATCAAGGGTGGCAAGGTTCCAAACTTAGAGTGAAGGCGAACCTTACGGCGACCTAGTTGAAAATTTTTATTCGCACTTTACAAGATATATCTCCCTCTGATAACATTTGAACTAGAAATACTTTTGTCGAAACCTTTTTGTTCTTTTGTTTTAGAAGTAAACAGCTAAAACACAGAATCGAAGTAAAATCACACGTGCAACAGCTAACATATAACTATTCTCTAGGTCTTTTATTACAAACGGATCAATTTGCTGATTAATTTATAAACACTCATGTTACCTGATGAATGCATTTTGTCGAATGACAACAACTGTGATCAAAAGAAACAAAAGATAAACACGAAAAATAATTTTTAATTTAGCGCAAATTATTGTTTATGGATAAGCTCCTTAGAAACTTGAAACTTGACCCAAGCAGTCCCTCCTTTTCGGCGCACTCCGTCGCGTGAATTTAAAAATATTACAGACTGCAGTTTCCGTGTGCCTTACTTCCAGAGTTCCGCGCGAAGCGCTAACATCAATTTTTTTTCCACTGACCTTTTTTGAGCCGCGTGAGGGACTTCGCCGAAAAGGAGGGACTACTCGTAGTCTATTTACAAACATGCACTGTTGACAGAAAACAGGAGCCCATTACGAAATGGGCTCCTGAAGAAAAGTATTCCTCCGATGGGAGAAGCTATATCTACATCCTTTTAGAAAGTTGTGTCGGTAGCAAAGTACCCAAATCTAAATGGTCCTTAACAGCGTTTATTTCTCACTTTTTCTAACAGGGGAGTCACCGAACTATATACTTTTACCAGTCTGACTAGCAGTACCTTTTCACTGGACCAGTCGAAAGGGACAGTTAAACGGCCAATGGAAACTAAGCCCCTAAATTTTATTGGTATAAACTAAAACAGTGGTTATCGTTGAGGGTGCGCTCTGATTGGCTCCTCAAACTCCAAATATCCTTTGCTATTCACCTCCGAGCAATAACCGCAGGATTTTCGCCAAAAAGTAATGTAATCGTTGCAGGAATGAAAGAGTTTAAAAATCACCTTTTCGTGCCTTATTATCTCACTGTTTTAGTATATACTAAAAACTACTTTTCACCTTAGTGTCGATGTCTAGCGATGGTGGTAAAATCCACCACTAGCCACCTCCATCTGAATAGTTGGTAGCTAGTTAATGAAATTCACATCTCACACATATTCTAACCGATGAAAATCATGGAAAACCTATAGGGAGTAGGTTGCACAGGTTCAGTTTGAAGACAAGAAAAATGGATGAAATTGACTTAAGTTTGATGCCTGCTCTGACATTAAATATTTCATGGCCGAGTTTCTTGCAACTGGGAATTAGTACAAATCAGGGTTGACTAAGCTAAGTTTGCACGATTACTCACTAAATTGTGCTCCATAAACTTCGAAATTTGAAACAAATAAATAGAAATCCTTACGGGGCTAGTATAAGTATTGATAGGCTTGGCAATGATTGTAGGAATTTTCTTCTGAAGTATCACAATACGCTTTCATTTTGTGGGATAAGTCGATGCCAATACCGAAACACAATAAACACGACAAGGATAAACCCAACTATAAAAATCGTTCGTAACGATGATAAAAGAAGGCAAAAACTTGATTTTTTACATTATTCCAATGAATTTAGAAAATTTTCTTGCCACACTGATGAGATACCAGTTGGCCTGAGTTTTATTTACATCGGTACGTTTCTAAAGAAACTGTGGCGCGGCGACGGTGGAAGAGTATAACATGATAATTCAGTATAATCAACTGAGTTGATAACGTAAATTGGTCACCGTAGAAAATTTTAAAGCTGAAGTTTCGAGCGTTAGCCTTGCGTCATTCGCTCTGACGGAGGGCTAACGCTCGAAACGTCAGCTTTAAAACTCTTTACGGTGGCCAATTTCAGTAGTTAGTACTATCAACTGAGTTGGTAATATCAAATTACCCTTTTATTCACATGCTTCAGTCTGTTCCCCAAAACCCAAGAGTTTTACCTCGAGTTTCGGTTTTGAGAATATGCAATTAACGAGGATTTGATCCTCGTTTGTCCATCACATCACTCTTTTTACTCACTGTGTTCTTCGTGATCTTGTGGTCAGGGCCTAAAATATCGTTTTGAATTACAAAGGCTTTATCGAGCTCCTCCCAAGCCTCATCGAACTGCCCTTGAAGGACTAAGACATCGCTAAGCTGAACGCACGAACGAGCTGTATCCTGATGATGACCCAACAGCCTCTTTCGTAGCCCATGAGCTTCCCTGGAGTACATCTCGGCCTGGTCGATGTAACCTCGTTCAGAGCTTCCAGCTGCAAGGGCCAGGGTTTTCATTACATCTCGGCCTGGTCGTTTGCCATTACGTCCTCGTTCAGAGCTTCCAGCTGCGAGGCGCCTTACGGCGCCAAGAAAACATTCCGTCCGGTGCTTTACGATGTCCGCGACTTTACAAAACAGTTGAAAATTGAAGCTGTCCAGGGGTGGTCACCAAGCTGCTCTTTGTAAACTGGCAGAGTGTTCTCTTTCCAAATGTCGATTGCTTTTTGATGATCACCAAACAATCGATAAGAGTCTGGCAAAATGTGAAGACAATATATAACTTTCACAAAGTTTAATGAATCCTTCAATTAATCCCTACCGCATTTAAAAAAGAAACAACTGGTATGACGAGAGAGATGACTTATGATTCAGAGCTGGTACGCGTCGAGGTATAATATAATAATATAAAGCTTGTAAGCCATAAACTTTGAAGGGATATTTCTCAAATGGGTTAGAAACATTGGTTTCCTTCTCAAATTAACAAATCCCTCCCCATATCACAAATTACCTCATTGTCAGACTAACCAGGGAACATCAACCTTTTTAACCATAAGGTTCCTGAGGAATTTTTCCTTCTAATAGCACCTTTTGAATCAAACATTAAGCGCATGAAAAATAAATCAAATGTAGGCAAATTAAAGAAGCAAGATCTTGGTTGTTGACTAAATTCTCCTTGTCGATACCATTGGAAATGTTATGGAACAGTATGGAGAATATGCATGCGGAAGTTAGGCTGTTGGGGGTCAAGCATTCAGAGTTGCTTGTTTCGCTTTCATGTCGAAGCCGACAGACAAGACTATTCCCTCTTTCTCCATGAAAATAAGACTCGACGAGATTCCAGTACATAAGTTTAGTATGTTCCCTTTTCAGTTCTCATTTGATCTGAGATTTACTTGTTGTCCTCTCGGTTCAGTAAAAGAAACCGCCCAGCGCGCTTTGTCATCCTTTTAGCCTGCTTTCAGTCTCCAACAAGGATACGCGGGTGCTATACGGACTGCAAACAAAACATTAACCTATCCCCAAGGTCACAGTATCCAGCAGCAACATACAAACGGTTGCCTAAAGAATCTCTTATTGAAATTCCTTCCTGTATGAGCTCTCGTCCTTTTTTTTCTTCTCCCTGTGAAAAAAATAACTCTTGTAAATATCCGGGTTCAGTGTCTACCTTAGTGCGAGTGATACCCCATTAGGAGTGACGCAAACTCTCCTATTTCCGCCATTATTGATAAAGTTTCATTAGATTTTCGTACACTTCGCCTGCGTTAGATTCTTATGAGCCCCACAAAAGGAAAATGCACGGATGGTACTTAAAAAGGAAAGCCATTGAGAAAAATTATCTTTAAAAAGGAGGAGGTAAGAAGGAAAATCAAAACAAAAAAAAAAGGCACACAGTCCCCTTTTATATTTGCCATGATCTCACCTGCAATACAAAACATACTCCGAGCTTACTAGCGATGTGCGCATGCGTTAGGGACTTTTGTTCCTCCTCTGGTAATGTCCTGCGCATGTCATATGCTTCCTGAAACTTTGCAAGTGTGACTTGGTTTTCTTCAGGGCTGTCTTTGCTGTAACAACCGTCACAGAGACGGCGGAATCCGAGTGAATTCAAGCTCTCTGCATATCTCTTCATATCGCCGGACGCTTTAGCAATATCACAGCATTTCTGGTACAGCGCTCTGCTCTCTTTTGGAGGTGTTAAAACTTTAGCCACAAAATCCAGCACTTCTGTACTGTTAACGACGTCTAAAACGAGATGTTTGTCATAGAAATCGCTAGAGTTTTCGAGACAATTCTTCAGCACTTCCATGATGTTTGCCTTCTGCTGTCGAAACTTATGGATCGCAATTAAAGCTGAGTCTTTGCTGATAAACTCTTTACTCAAGACTCTTAGCAGACCAAGATAATGATGGTTAAATTTACACTTAGTGGCGTGCCACAGGTCACCCATGCCTATAGATTCTTTCTCTGACAGGAAGTAGGCTTGGACCAGCGGATGCATCCTCATCTTTCCATCGGCATCCCTATGAAGAAGAGCATACTTGACCATCCTGGTCTTCACTGTTTCACAGTGTAAAGGATCTTCAAAAAGGAACTGAATGTCTTGCGCTGAGAACTCCGATGGGAAAACAGAAAAAAGGACAAGATTTCGTTTTACCTCATTGGAAAAATTGTCAAAAAATACTTTCAGCGTATCGTAAACATCGCTCGCACTGATCCTGAAAAGTTGTATGGGATTATTCCCGAGCTGTTGGATTAACAGATTTACAGCTCGTGGTATCCCACCACATAATTTAGCAAGTTCCTTGGAGTGTTCCTCACTACAGTCGTCAACAAGACTCCGGAGCAGTTTAGCAGACGATTCGGTATCTAAAGGTTTGAGAGGAAACCTACACACGTCTGCTGACACGAATCCAACATCTTTTCGAGTAGTGATTATCAACTTTACATTCGGGGCAGATTTAACGAGCCATTCAGTGAATTCATCAAATTCCTCACCCTGTATATTCTCTGTGTTGTCTAGTACAAGGACATTCGGGATATCTAGCTTCGATAGTTTACGCTTCGCAAGGGATATAAAGTCAGCGGTTTCCGACAAGGTGCGACTACTCAATCGATCAACAATCTCACTGCAGATGTCTACTAGCTTCCGATGATGACTTTCTACTCGAATATGTGTTACAGACTGGTCACCCCTTTGCTTTAACAAGTGACTTACACGGATTCCCACTTCAGTCTTTCCTATACCTGGGATAGAAAGAAGAACAACCATACGAAAGGACTGCAGTTTCTTTTCGATTTCATCTACGTCCGCGTCTCTTCCAACAAAGTGTGCAGTTAAATACGGAAGATTTCGAGGTTGACCGCTCGGCGACGACGGTGGACCTAATAAACGAAAAAATAAATAAATAAAGAAAAGGTTTGAACAGATACAAGAGCGATAGCCGACCACAGCAGATGTCCCAAAAACAAGCCGAGGATAATACCATTTGAAACTTATATATAAAACCCTAAATAAGCCCTTAAAGATTGTGCTAGCATAATTTTTGCCATAATAATATACATGACAAAATTACGCGTGTCTGATCCGTGCCTTTGAGAAGAAAGAGATGGCTATCAAAGAGAATATCAAGGAACATTACACAAATCATTAGGGTATATATAGAGGCTTGTCTATTAAAATGTCTTTTTATAGACAAGCAGTATCCATATCTGGGAGCTTCTCCAGGAAGAATTCAAGTTTGTAAGTGTTGTGTCAAGACACTTTTGGAGGTCAAGAGCATTTTTAGCAAAAGAAATCTTCAACCCCATGTCACTGGGGTAGCTCACTGCCTTGATCAAGTGGGTGGCAAATACTAAGTAAAAAAATAACGTTTTGGAACTATTAAATACAAGGACAGCTAGGTTTAGCGTGATTGGAACAGTGTAATCTTGTTATATGTAGACTCTTAAGGGAAATTAGTAGTATCTGTAAAATTTGACCAAGAACTGTGGGAGTAAATGGTGGGGAAGCTATCAAAGTTCTTTTGGAACGCATGGTGCCTGAACTCCTTAGTGGAAAGATTCATGAAGAGGTTACTCACGCCTGACTAAGCCTTTAAGAACCACAATGGAATTCAAGCACCATCTATGTTAAAATTAATTTAATATACATTTAAAGGATGCAAAGTAGTCTTTATGGCCTGATTACAGGTTAGAGGATACTCTTCATTTGCTTATTGAGTTTTTATATCAAGAAAGATATGACAGTACTTATAGATGCACTGTAATATGACAGAAGTGTAAGTTACTGTGGCATCACAAGTTTTTGTCTGTTAACCAATCCTTTGTTTCCTGAACTTAACCAGAAAGTGTAAGTGGAGGAAGACGGTTACAAAAAGAAGCACAAGCTATTCAAATTTTATCAGCAAAAGGCACAAGTGGCATAAGCAGATTTTTTACTTATTGCGATCCCAGTATATCAGTTTCTCGACAAAAGATTTCAAAATATTAAACATCGCAAGTTGGAAATTCCGTGAAGAATTTCACGGATTCGTAAATTTTCAGTGCATTATTCCTGACAAGTTTCCGTTGCAACTCTGGCGTGTTGTCGAGTTCGTTTCGAAGTGTTTTCTTCATTCATTGGAACTCTTTTGGCGTTAAGTTGGACTTCTAACGCGGGAATACAGATAACGGCGTGATATGTGACTAACACAAGTCTTTAGACTGTATGATTTTACGCCACTATCTGCGTTGGTACAATAATTAAACAAATTAATATATAATAAAAACATATCAAAGACCTTAAATGTTACAGTATATATATTACCGACTGGAGGAGGTTACGCCATTAGTTCACGGCGTAAAATCTTACAGTACCGTATATATATATTACCGACTGGAAGAAATTGCGCTGTAAAATCTTACAGTATGTATGTGGATGGCTTTTCAGAGTTGCAACTTTACATTCCTGTTATGTGAATACTGTACTTATTTTCAAGCCAATATGACAAGCGTAATTTTTTCATGTCCATTATTAACAAAAAAATTGCTCTTGCAAATTGGTTGTCTTTAAAAATATTGCTACGCTAAATTGACATGTACAATAGAAAGCAAATTAAAAGGGGGGGGAGGAGGGGTGTTAGACTGATATACAGCATACCACTGTTTATGTCATGTCTTTCAAATTTTACTAGGAGGTTTAGTAGTGGCAACTATGCGACAGGGATCGCTCGGAGACAGTTTCTCCATTATAACAGAGCGTTCCCCCTTCCTACCCACAAAACAAGTTTCTTTCACTGATTTTCGGCCTCAGTTTATTTATCCTGACTGTGTAAGGATACACAAGTCTCTTTCTTGATTCACTGTAATCACAATTTAATTTTGACTTTCCAACAAAGCGAAAACAGAGTGCCTACTAAGTAGCTACTAAAGATATTCTCCTAGCGCCACAAGTAGCACTTTCTGTCCTTAAGGGGGCCTTAGCAACTTAATAGACCTATAAATCCAATTATCGCATTAATATATTTTTTAAAAAATTTGATTTGGAGCTGAGCTCTCTCCATCAGAAAGGAGTCACCAGTGAAAATGAAACAACAACTTAAGTTACTACTAGTTGCACGGCATAGGGTAAAATATGGACTGGACTATTTTATGGACCAATTTTTTTGGACCATTTTATAGGGGGGGGAAGCACACCATTAGTACTCAGGGAGGGGTTGGATGCAGTCTATCAGTACCGAGGGCGGGGTGGAAGAAAATATCGAAAATTTAAAATATCGCGTTTATAATCCTAGCTCAAGTCGACTTGTGCACCATCAGTTGCTTCACGTTTCCTTTTGTGTATACAGTAGGTAATTGGTAAATTTATCTATCTTCCTTTTGCCATTGACCTTATCAGACGAGATCACGGAATTCCCAGTACTTAGCCCTTAACTTGGCAGCATATTAAATTCGCAATTGTAACCTTTATACCTCTATTATTTAAAATCATCAGCGAACGATTTCAAAGAGGAGTTAATCACCGACAAAGGAGTTCATCACCGACGAAGGAGTTAATCACCGACGAAGGAGTTAATCACCGACGAAGGAGTTAATCACCGACGAAGGAGTTAATCACCGACGAAGGAGTTAATCACCGACGAAGGAGTTTATCACCGACGAAGGAGTTAATCACCAACAAAGGAGTTAATCACCGGCACCGGAAATCGCGATTTCTGGTGCCGGTGATTAACTCCTTTGTTTGTGAAACAGATAAACTCGATATTTGCGCTTTCCCATATTGCACGTACAGCGGTGTTTTGCTCGATTTGAGAATATGGATTCCTCTTCGAAATCGTTCGCTGATGATTTTATTTAGTAAAGGTATAAAGGTTAAAATTGCAGTAACGCTTGTGAATTTTATATGCTGCTAAGTTAAGGGCTAAGGACCGGAAATTCCCTGATCTCGTCTGATAAGGTCAATGGCAAAAGGAAGATAGATAAATTTAGCAATTACATATTGTATACACAAAAGGAAACGTGAAGCAACTGGTGTGCACAAGTCGACTCAAAGGTACGCGCATAACCCAACAGAGGAGGATCGTAAACGCTCTTTTCAATAAAATTTAAAGTCCAGTGAGTAAAGTAAAGTACATAATACATAAATCGAGCAGTAACTTATGGGCTTTTTCAACTTTTTCGTCAATCGATTCGAGTCGATCTTTAATGTCATCATCCTGTTTTTGCCATTTTTTTAAAAGGCTTTTGTAACCTTTTTCGGAGCACCGAAAAGGATCAGTTTGGAGTACGGAGCAGTTTGTGCTTCCTTCGTGCCAGCCCCAGCGGCTTACAAATATCACACTTCTAGAACGCAAAATGGTTGTCTCTTCCGGCTTTGATTTTAATCCAGTCGTGCATAAGTATATCATTCGTTGAATTCGCTGTAAATTATATAGAAAGAAAATTAAACTTACCGGGATGGTTTACGGTTTTGAACACTTATCGGGCGAACGTGTCTATGCTAGCGCTATCACGTTCCAGTAATCAGAAACATGGCAACCGTTGACGTTCATATTTCCAATTCCTAGAAACCATAGATCATGGCGCTGCTAGGGGTAATGACATCATCCAGGGTGGCAAAGTGAAGGCCAACCTTACGGCGACTTAGTTGAAAATTTGTATTGGAACTTTACAACATATATTTCCCTATGACTTGAACTAGAAATAGTTTTGTCGAAACCTATTTGTTCTTTTGTTTTGGAAGTAAACAGCTATAACACAGAATCGAAGTAAATTCATATGTGCAACGGCTATGACATATAACTATTCTCTAGGTCTTTTACTACAAGCGGATCAATTATTTTATTGATAAAGAAACACTTATGCTACTTGATGAATGCATCTTGTCGATTGACAACAACCGCGATCAAAAGAAACAACAGATAACCTCGAAACAGAATTTTTGACTCAGCGCAAATTATTGTTTATGGATAAGCTTCTTAGAAACTTGACACGAGCAGTCCATCCTTTTCGGTGCACTTCGTCGCGTGAATTCGGAAATAATACAGACTGTAGTTTCCGTGCGCCTAACTTCCAGAGTTCCACTGACCCTTTTTTGACCCGCGTGACGGACTTCCCGAATAGGAGGGACTACTCGCAGTCTACTTACAAACATTCACCGTAGACAGAAAAGTAATTCCCCGGATGGGAGAAGCTAAATCTACTTCCTCTTGGAAAGTTGTGTCAGTAGCAAAGTGCTCGAATCTACTTGGTCCTTAACAGCGTTTATTTAACACTTTTTCCAACTAGGGAGTCACTGAACTGCACAATTTTACCTGCCTGATTAGCAGCACCTTTTAACTAGACCAGTCGAAATGGACAGTTAAACAGCCAACGGAAACTAAGCCACTAAATTTTATCGGTATATACTAAAACAATGTTAAGGCGCGCTGATTGGCTACTCAAACTTCGAATATGGGCTGTAGGATTCGCAACCGAAAATATTGCAATAGTTCCAGGAATAAATGAGTTAAACTCATCTTTTTGTGCTTTATTATCTCACTGTTTTAGTATATACACCTCACCTCAGTGTCAATGTCTAACGATGGTGGGAAAACCCACTACTTACCTCCTTATGGGGTTAGTATGAGCATTGAAAGGCTCTTTGGTGATGACTGTAGTAATTTTCTTCTGAAGTATTATAATACGCTTTAATTTTGTGGGATAAGTCGATACCAATTCCGAAACACAATAAACACGACAAGGAAAAACCAAACTAAAAAAATCGTTCGTAACGATGATGAAAGAAGGCAAAAACTTGATTTTTACATTATTCCAATGAATTTAAATAACTTCCTTGCAACACTGATGAGATACCAATTGGTCTAAGTTTTATTTACACGGGGGTAAGTTTCTAAAGAGACTGTGGCTTTTCGTCGATGGAAGAGTTTAACATAGTAATTTAGTCTTATCAACTGGGTTGATAACGTAAATTAGCCACCGTAAAAGGCTGAGGTTTCGAGCGTTAGCTCTTCCTCATTCGATTTGACTATGGGCTACCGCTCGAAACGTCAGCTTTTAAACTCTTTACGGTGGCTAATTTACGTTATCAACTCAGTTAATATATTGATATTAATAATACATTACATTTTTATTTACATGCTTCAGTCTGTTCACTAAGAACCAAGAGTTTTACCTCGGGCTTCGGTTTTGAGAATGTGCAGTTAACGAGGATTTGAGGCTCGTTTGTCCATCACGTAACTCATTTTGCTCATTATGTTCTTCGTGATCTTGTCGTCAGGGCCCAAAACATCCTTTTGAATTTCAAACGCCTTATTGAGCTCCTCCAAAGCCTCATCGAATTGTCCTTGAAGGACTAACACATCGCTAACCTGAACGCACGAACGAGCTGTATCCTGATGATGACCCAACAGCCTATCTCGTAGCCCATGAGCTTCCCTGGAGTACATCTCGGCCTGGTCGATGTAACCTCGCTCAGAGCTTCCAGCAGCAAGGGCCTTGTACGAGTCAGCGATGTAGGACAAAATTGAAGCTGTCCAGGGGTGGTCACCAAGCTGCTCTTTGTAAACTGGCAGAGTGTTCTCTTTCCAAATGTCGATTGCTTCTTGATGATCACCAGACAATCGATAAGAATCTAACAAAGTGTGAAGACAATATTACGCTTTTACACTGTTAAATGAAACCTTACCGCGTTTTAAAAAGAGACAACTGGAATGGATAAAGAGACGGACTTCTGACTCAAAGCCGGCACGTGTCTAGGGTGGTTTTGTTAAAGAGCATAAAGCTTGTAAGCCGTAAACGTTTAAAGGGCTATTTCTCAAATGGCTCAGAAACATTAGTTTCCTTCTCAAATTAACAAATCCCTCCCCATATCACAAATAAACACTTTGTCTGACTAACCAAGGAACATCAACCTTTTTTTACCCCAAGGTTCCTAACTTCGAATTTTTCCTTGCAATAGCACCTTTTAAATCAAACATTAAGCGCATGAATAATAAAATAAAATGATAGCCAATAAAAGAACCCAGATTCTCCTTGTCAATACCACTGGGAATGTTTTAGAACAGTATGGAGAATATGCATGCGAAAGTTCGCCTGTTGGGGATCAAGCATTCAGAGTTGCTTGTTTCACTCTCACGCCGAAGCCGATAGACAAGACCATTCGTTCATTCTCCATGAAAATAAGACTCGACGAGATTTCAATACATAAGTTTGGTATTTCCTCTTTTCAGTTCTCATTTAATTGGAAATTTATTTGTTTTTCTCTCGGTTTATAAAAAAAAAACCACCCAATTCGGAATTTCACAGTGCGCTTTGTCATCCTTTTAGCCTCCATTCAGTCTCTTACAAGGATACGCGGGTGTTATATGGAGTGCAAACAAAAACATTTACTTACTTCCAAGGTCACAGTATCCAGCAGCAACATACAAACAGTTACTTAAAGAATTTCTTATTGAAATCCCTTCCCGTATGAGCTCTCGTCCTTTTTTTTCTTCTCCCTGCAAAACAAATAGCCCTTGTAAATATCCGGGCACAGCCTGCCTAACTGCCAGTGATACCCCATTAGGACTGCAGCAAATTCGCCCATTTCTGTCCATTATTGACAAAGTTTCATTAGATTTCCTACAAATTTCAGTAAACAAGGAGAGCTTCCACACTTTACCTTGGCGTAAGATTCTCATAAGCCTCCATAGATTCCCACAAACAAAAATGAAGGGAGGGTACTTAAAAGGGAAGCTATTAAGAAAAATTCTCCTTAAAAAGGAAGAGATAAGGAGGAAAATCAAAACAAAAAAAACGCCACATAGTCCTCTTTTATATTTACTATGATCTCACCTGCAATACCAAACATACTCCCAGCTTACTAGCGGTGTGTGCATGCGTTTGGGTTTTTCGTTCTTCTGCTGGTAATGTCCTGCGCATTTCGTATGCTTCCTGAAACTTTGCAAGTGTGGCTAAGTTTTCTTCTGGGCTGTCTTTGCTGTGAGATACGTCACAGAGACGACGGAATCCCAGTGAATTCAAGCTCTCTGCATGCCTCTTCATATCGCCGGACGCTTTAGCAATATCACAGCATTTCTGGTACAGCACTGAGCACTCTTTAGGGGGTGTTAGGACTTTTGCCACAAAATCCAGCACTTCTGTACTGTTCACGACGTCTAAAACGAAATTCTTGTCATCTAAATCGCTAGAGTCTTCGAGACAATTCTTCAGCGCTTCCATGATGTTCGCTTTCTGCTGTCGAAACTTATGGATCGCAACCAAAGCTGAATTTTTGCTGATAAACTCTTTGCTCAAGACTCTCAGCTTACCAAGGTATTGATGGTTAAATTTACACTGAGCGGTGCGCCACAGGTCACCCATGCCTAAAGACTCTTTCTCTGTCCGGAAGTAGGCTTGGACTAAAGGATGCATCCTCATCTTTCCAACGACGTTCCTTTGAAGAAGACCATACTTGACCATCCTGTTCGTCACTGTTTCACAGTGTAAGGAATCTTCGAAAAGACACTGGATGTCTTGACCTGAGAACTCCGATGGGAAAACAGAAAAAAGGACAAGATTATTTTTTACCTCATCGGAAAAAGTGTTAAAAAATACTTCCAGCGTGTTGTAAACATCGTTCGCACTGATCCTGAAATGTTGTATGGGATCATTACTGAGCTGTTGGATTAACAGATCGGGACTTAAACCATTGTTCAGCGAGTCAGAACAGGTTACAAGAAGGAGTGGTATCCCACCACACAATTTCGCAAGTTCCTTTGAGTGTTCCTCACTACAGTCGTCAACAAGGCTCCGAAGCAGTTTTGCAGACGAGTCGGGATCCAAAGGATTCAGAGGAAACCTACACACGTCCACCGACACGAATCCAACATCTTTTCGAGTAGTGATTATCAACTGTACATTCAGGGCAGATTCCACGAGCCATTTGGTGAATTCATCAAATTCCTCGCCCTGTATATTCTCTGTATTGTCCAGCACAATAAGAGTTGGGATATTTCGCTCCGATAGTTTACGCTTCGCAAGGGATATAAAGTCAGCGGTTTCCGAATAGGTGCGACTACTCAATCGATCAACAATCTCACTGCAGATGTCTGCGAGCTTCTGATGATGACTTTCTACGCGAATATGCGTTACAAACTGGTCACCCCTTTGCTTTAACAAGTGACTTACACGGATTCCCACTTCAGTCTTCCCCATTCCTGGGATGGAAAGAAGAACAACCATACGAAAGGTCTGCAGTTGATTTACGATTTTATCTACGTCCGCGTCTCTTCCAACAAAGTGTGCAGTTAAACACGGAAGATCTCGAGGTTGACCACCCAGCGACGACGGTATACCTAAAATACGAAAAAAAAAAAAGAGAAAGAAAGAAAAAGTTTGAACAGATACACGAACGGTAGCCGACCACAACAGATGTCCCAAAAACAAGCCAAGGATAAACCGATGGAACCCTAAATATAAGAACACACATAGGCCTCTAAAGATTGTGCTAGTATAATTTTCGGCATAATAATATACATGAAAAAATTACTCTGATCCACGTATCTGAGAAGAAAGATGTGGTTATGAAAGAGAATAACAAGGAACATTAAACAAAACACAAGGGTATGGAAGTTTTTCAATGTGGTCTTTTTATCGCCAATCATTAACCATATCTGGGAGCTTCTCCAGCCAGAATTCAAGTTTCTAAGTGTTGTGTCAAGACACTTTTCGAGGTCAAGAGCATTTTTAGCGAAAGAAATCTTCAACCCAGTGTTGGGGCAGCTCACTGCCTTGATGAAGTGGCTGGCAAATACAATCAAACGCAAGCTTTACACTGTTAAATCTAGCTTTGGCTGGATTGGAACAGTGTAATTCTATTATTTACACTCTTAAGGGAAATTAATAGTTACTAAAAGTTGAGAAAGACCTGTGGGAGCAAATGGTGGGGAAGCTATCAAAGCTTTTTTGGATCATATAGTGCTGAACTCCCAAGTGGAAAGATTGGAAAGATTCATTAAGAGGTTACTCACGCCTGACAAAGCCTTTAAGAATTCAAGCACCTTCCGTGTTAAAACTAATTTAATATGCACCTACAAGATGCTAAATAGTCCTTATGGCCTGATTACAGGTTAGTAGATACACTTGATTTGCATATTGAGTTTTTATATCAAGAAAGATATGACAGTGCTTATAGATGCATTGTAATATGACAGAGGACCATGCTAAGTGACCGTGATATCACAAGTTTTTGTCTGTTAACCAATGTTATCTTCGGTGGATCAATTCCCGAAAAAATCCTTTGTTTTCTGAACTAAACCAACCTATGAAGTAGTTAAAATAGGAAAGATAAAGCTGAAAGATTTCTTTGCATAATGAAGTTAGTTTTAGTTTTATTTATTTTTTTCTTTGTGATAAATTAGGAGAATACTGGAGAGTTCTACTTTGTAAGTGGAGGTAGAAGATTAAAAAAAGCAGCACAAACCGTTAATGTTTTATTAGCAAGAGGCACAAGTGGTACAAGCAGATTTTCTACCGATTACGATCCCAGTATTTCTGTTTCACGACGAAAGGTTTGAAAATATTGAATATCGCCATTAGACAGACCAAAGTTGGAAATCCCGAGAAGAATTTTGCGGATTCATAACTTTTCAGTGTATTATAAATGAAAAGTTTCCGTTTCAACGCTGGCATGTTACTGAGTTCGTTTCAAATTGTTTTGTTATCAGCTCATAACATCGATTCATTTTTAATCATATCGTCCATTTGATGGCGGTCAATGTCCGTCTGGCAAGAAACAAAGAAATTTCGTCGGGAAAAACGTCTTCGCTGTCTCAAATTTCCTTTTCTCCACTCATTAGACCTTTTTTGCGTTGACTTGGACTTCTAATGCCTGTGTGCTGGTCATATATTATTGGAACCGTCCCCTGAAAGTGTCTTCGCGATTTGTTTAGTCTCAAAGAGTGCAGAACATGTATGCAAATTCTTGATAGACACGAACTCCTTATCAGCACGACGACAGAAGGCACTCCATTTCAACCTTTATCTCTCCTCGCCAAGTAACTCGAAAACGTTGAGGTCCAGCCTCTTTTTAGGGGAATATAGATAATATGCGACTAACACGCTCAATAGACTGTAGGATTTTACGCCACTATCTGCGTCGGTATTAAAAATTACAGTACGTATACATACCGACTGAGTCAGATTATGCCGTTAGTTAACGGCGTCCTGAGAGATTCTGCGCCGTTAGTTAACGGCTTAAAATCTTACAGTATGTATATATACCGACGCAGATAGTAACTGTGTTACTCACATATTAAGCTGTTATCTAATTACCGCTCGCGGCGCCAAATTCAGCGAGCAAAGGAAGCCGAAGCATGCACGCCGTTTCAAATTTATCAATTTTACTGACAATCAAACATCATTCGATACTGCTGCAATTTGCAAATGCAAACTCTTCGACCGTGAAATATACCGCTAATATTTACGCATTTATCTTTAGCATTAATTTTCTTTAGCGCGCTCACAACCACATCAACTTTGAATTTATCGAAGACCTGACAAGAATTAATCTGAGGTCTGTCAAGACGCATTATTCATAAAGAAAAAACAACGAAAGCATCATTCAGTCTTACAAAAAATCTATCTACACACGGGTCTTAACCAGAATCTTACCTTGTTCCTCGACTGAAGCGGCTAGCTCACTACGTCCGACGTTTCTAAGTAGCCATAGCAAATAGGATACGTCTTCTAGGCAGATTTTATCGTGATGGCGTAAGAAGCTCAAAAACTCGCGTGGGTTTATGATAGCATGAAGCTTTCCTCGTGGTAAACTATTATTGGTTTGTGATCTGTCACAGAGAAATTTCATTTTCTCCAACTCTTCCTCTGTTATTTGATCAGCAATCTTAGCCAAGAAAGCATTGAACTCTGCTGTATTTCGAGCGGGTAGTGAAATATTCGGTGGTGGAGTGGACTGCGCCATTTCTGACCAAACGTCCCGTCTCCAGACACGCACACGTGGCTAAGTTATGACTGAAAACGATTCGTGTGACGCCACAAAATGTTGAGGGTGATTCGAGACAAGCAGAACGACCCGGAAAATTGACACCTGGCTACATCTGAAAGCAAACTTGATTGCATATATAATTAGGAATGGAGGGGGGTCAGTGTTAGGGAACTGTTCAAACAAATCAAGAGGACTGTATCTTTCGATGTAAAAACACGATTTAATCCAAACCGATAATCTATTGTGATATACAATCCTCACATATTCAACGGTCGTAACACAACGACCAACGATTAAATAACACATTCTGAGTATACAGAAGTTTTTTCCCACTATCATTGCGTAAGGTAGTATTTTAATATCAATCACATGTGCAGTAAAAGTTCCCATTGTAATGTATCTAATTTAAATGACTATTACAAAATCGCACGTTCTTTCACCTTATTTAGCTTAAGAAAATGCATGCAGTTACATCGTAGCTATACTCGGACTTTGTCTACATTATTGTGAAATCTAACTTCTTTGCGCTACAAATGTCAATTTCTAATAAATATTTAATCACAAAATAATCAATTTAAGCATTACCTATTTCTTTCCCGACAGTAAGTTCTTGTAGAAACTGTGTTGCTGCGTTGGTAGTGGAAAATAACCGAGTAATGAATGAGTTGCCAGTAATGGATCCTCAGTGTTTATGCACAGATTTCTGGGATCGCCACGGGGAAAACATTGCAACTCGCAAGGATCCGATTACTGGCAACTCATTCAGTCAGTATTATCGACTGAGAGAGAAATTCGCTCTGACGAAGGGCTATCGTTCGAAACGTCGGCTTTGAAACTCTTTCCGGTGGCCAATTAACGTTATCAACTAAGTTAATGATACTAATATACCCTGCATATGTACTTAGCTTACCCGCTTCGCCTTATTAGCGAAGTCAAACCTAGAAACACTTCATTATTTGATGGATTAAGCAGCCTTTCCGTCCAGTTGTCAGTCGATTATTACGTCGAATCAAGAGTTGGTGGGTCAGTCGGTTACATAATCAGGAGGATAATCAGAGAAATTTGCAAGATATTCGTGCAAATTATTCACAAATGAGTCGAAGAATCTTTCAGACAATGCTCAAGTGGTCAAACTTTATGTGAAAGCTGTCATTTGATAAGTCAGGCCTGAAGTATATTAACATGGGTTTTGACCGCAGAGCTGCGGATCAACGATGTGGAACCAAAATGTTATAAATTTCATCGTTATTAAAATTCTTAACAGTTCGCTAACCTAAAACGAATATCTATGATTTGTCTCACACGAAGTGTGGTAGAATCAATTATTACAAGGGAATACCCTTACAGAAGGATTCATAAGGATGTTTCGCCTGAAATAGGTACTTTCGAGTGCCGAAGTGTGGATGCAAAGGCGGGAATTTCATGTATCTTAAAATAGAGAATAAATTTAAAAAGACTGTTTTAAATCCAGAACATTTCTTGTTTTAAAGGTCTCGCTAGGACATGTTTTAGGGACACAGTTTTCAATCTAGATATGTGACAGTGATTCCTCTTTCTAAGGAAGCATAAGAAACAGGTACATTTACCTTTTGGGTAAAAGCATCCAACAAATCTTGGCCCTTTTGCCAAAGGATGGGAAGTACTGTAAGCTGGAAAGATTTCTTAGAGGGGTCGACTGAGCTCTATCTAGTGTTGAAGGTTCTTCACAACTATTAGGATGAGTCTGACCAAGGCTTGGTGACTGGCTGCCATGCTAGAAAGGAGCCTGAACTCTTTGGAATACATACAAGAAAGTGGTAGCTATCAATAAAAGTAGCTATAACTGTATAGCTATGACCCTAAGACACCATTGATAACATAATTCTAAGCTACAGTAGTCAATGGTGCCTGATAGCTTAGGGAAAGCTGACTTCAAGTCCATCAAGGAACACGATTTCAAAAGTGGTTCCCACTGACATAAATTTAAGTAACCATCATTTTTTTCTCGTATAATAATATACATGAAAAAATTACAAATGTGAAGATAACTGTCCTCAATGTGATTTTTTTAAATATTGTTTTTCAGTGTTACAGCTTTGCACTCGTGTTACAACTTTTCATTCATGTGACATGAAAATTGCACTAATTTTCAGCCCACGAGACAAGCGTAATTCTTTTTCATGTTTATTACTCACGAATACATGGCTCATGTGAATTGGTTGTCTTTGAAAAATTTACTGGTGCTTATGAACACTAAATTGCACTCGAAACCATGTTATTACCTATACAAATTGACATCGTGTATGATAGAAACGAATTAAAACACAGGCATAAACAAAATGCATATCACAGAAAAATTTGTTAATTTAAAATTGCATTTCTAAACAACCAATCTTCGATAAATATTATACTTCTCCCCATCTGATTATGACATTTTGTTCACAGTAAGTTCTGCAACTACCATTTTTTCTTTATGTAAAGTGGGGAGGGGGGGAAGGGGTGTTAGACTGATTTACAGCATACTATTATTCATGTCATATGTCCTAAATTTCATAAGACTCAACCGATACTTAATTAAAGGTAACAATATTCAGGGTGTCAATTTTTTTTTTTCACATGTGTGATATTTCTTTCACTGGATTTGATTCAGTGTTTAAGATACTGTAATACCAAATTTATGTGTGTCTTTTAAAACAGAGGAGACCCTCATACAGTGTAAATAAAGAAAACTCACTATGTACTTACATGTACATGTACATCTCACTAGAAAAGAAGAGGAGATATAACAAGCTTTAAGAATTACCAGTACAGCTGCAGCTAATAAATTCTTTTAATCTTATTCAATTGCACAAACAAGCTTCATATTTTACTTTTGTTCACCTAATTACACTGTTGGAGAAGCATGTGTACATCTAAGCCTTGCATGAAGAATTTCTCTTTACGCAGCATTAGAACTACCAATTGAAACTGAAAATGTTCCCAAAAATTGTTTTAAAATATTACATGTATGTCAGCTGAATTTTACACATAATTAGGACTAAGACATGTTTTGATGCTAATCTGGTTTAAAGATTTAATGAATGTAACTGAGAAGTTACAATTCATAGACCCAATGTTTCAATACTCCTGTCTAATGCCTTCAACAAGAGGTCCTTTTATGTTCTCACTAATCAGATACCCTTTTTCTGACAAGGTGTAAATAGGTGTCAGGTAGTAAGCCGCCATCATCACAATTTACGCAAGAGTTGGTTGCATAACCGTGTGTGGTTATTTATTCTCATCTGCATGACGCCTTTCGTTTCAATCGCCAGTGTTTGTGCATTAGTTGAATTCAATAACGTAATCTAACAGTCTGGTTATTTCTTTTTAAGACCGAACACTTTAGTTCCTTTCTTTCTCTCATCTTTTCTTTTTCCTTTTCTTTTTTTGTCACAGGACTTTTACGGACGGGAAATGGAAATGATCAGGATAGGTGCATAAATGCGGATTTTGCTGGTAAAAATTTCGAGCCTAAGCTCAACAGCAAAAATTATGAACTGTTGCAGGAGATGGATTAAGCTTTTAAAATTATATTTCTCGGTTCTTAGTCATTGTTAGAGAATAAAAAGTCGAGCATTTGCAACAACGCCCGAAAGAACAATTTCTGTCGCACGCCTGACAGTTGACCCGCAAGTTGCAACTATTTGTTATGATTGAAATAATATGACTGCAACGTAACAAAAATTGCGCACGGAGTAATTAGCGCTTCCTTCGTGCTGGCCGAGAAGCTGTTTATAAATATTGCACTTCTACAACGAAAAATGGTTGTCTCTTCCGGCATTGATTTTAACCTAGCTACTGCATAAGTACATCATTCGTTCATTTCGTACTAAATTATATTGAAAGTAAATTAAACTTACCGAGATGGTTTACGCTTCTATAGATGAGACTTTAAACGCTTATCGGGCAAACGCGTCGTTGCTAGCTAGCGCTATCAGAAACTTAGAAATTATGGTTCATGGCGCTCCTGGGGTGTAATGAAATCATCAAAGGTGGCAAGGTTCCAAACATAGATTGAAGGCGAACCTTACAGCGACGTAGTTAGAAATTTGTATTCGCACTTTACAAGATATATTCCCCTATGATAACATTTGAACTAGAAATACTTTTATTAAAACCTTCTTGTTCTTTTATTTTTGAAGTAAACAGCTAAAACACAAAGTCGAAGTAAAATCATATGTGCAACAGCTATAACATATAACTATTCTCTGGGTCTTTTAATACAAACGAATCAACTTTTTGATCAATTTAGAAACACTTCTGTTACTTGATGAGTGCATACTGTTGAATGACAACAAACGTGATCAAACGAAACAAGAGATAACCACGGAAATGCATAAGCATAATGCATAAGCTTCTCATAAACTTGACCCGAGCAGTCCATCCTTTTGGGCGCACTCCGTCGCGTGAATTAAAAAAAAAATTCAGTCTTAACCCTTTCACTCCCACAAGTGATCAAGACAGAATTTCTCCTTACAATATCAATACTATATCAAGCAGTTAGATGAAGGGAATACAGAAAAATATAAATAATGGGATTATAAGTTGATCCAATACCAAATTCTCTTCACTAACATCATAAGAATTGTATGGTAGACAGTAAGGAGAATTACCAATAAGATCTTGGGAGTGAAAGAGTTAAGCTTCCAGAGTTCCGCGCAACGCGCTAACATCAATATTTTTTTCCACTGACTCTTTTGAGCCGCGTGACAGACTTCGCCGAAAAGGAGGGACTACTCGTAATCTACTTACAAACATGCACTGTTGACAGAAAAGTATTTCCCCGGATGGGAGAAGCTAAATTTGCTTCCTCTTAGAAAGTTGTGTCAGTAGCAAAGTGTTCGAATCTAATTAATCCCTAACAGCGTTTATTTCTCACTTTTTAGAACTAGGGAGTCACTGAACTGTACAATTTTACCTGTCTAATTAGCCGTACCTTTTCACTGGACCAGTCAATGGAAACTAGGCCACTAAATTTTAGTGGTATATACGAAAACAGTGGTAAGCGTTGGAGGTGCGCTCTGATTGGCCACTCATACTCCGAATATCCTTTGCTATTCACCTCCGAGCAATGGCCACGGGATTTGCGCCAATAAGTATTGTAATCGTTGCAGGACTAAAAGAGTTAAAATCATCTTTTTGGGCCTAAGTATCTCACTGTTTTAGTATATACTAAAACTACTAGTGTCGATGTCTAACGATGGTGATAAAATCCACCATTAGCCACCTCCATCTGAATAGTTGTTAACTAGCCATGAAATTCAAATCTCACACATATCGTAGCCAATGAAAATCAAGGAAAAATCTATCGGAAGTAGGTTGCTCAGGTTCAGTTTGAAGACAAGAAAAATGGATGAAATTAACTTTAGCTAGACGTCTGTCCTGACATTAAATATTTCATGGCCGAGTTTAGCTCGTCTGGGAATCACTCCTACAAATCAGGGCCAGGTTGGGTTAGTGTGAAATCTGCTTTCAGATCTAAAAGCAGTAAAAGAAATTCAGTATTATTCCTCTTGTATACAATTTAATGATTGAATGCCCAAATAAGAAGAAAGGGAATTATCTGAAAAAAGTGAATAAAGAAACACGGAGTAAAATTTAACCATGGGTTAATCTAATCGGACTTCGTACAACCGGGCTCAGGTTTAACTATGTTTGATTATTTGCACGATTACTCCCTGAATTGTGCTCCATAAACTTCTCAATTTGAAACAAATGAATAGTAGGAAAATGCAATAATTTTCAATCCTTATAGGTTTAGTATGGGCATTGAAAGGCTTTTTAGCAATGACTGAAGTAATTTTCTTTTGAAGTGTAATAATACGCTTTAATTTTGTGGCATGTCAATACCGAAACATAAAACCGAAACACAATACAGACGATAGGGATGAACCAAACTATAAAAATCGTACGTAACGATGATAAAAGAAGGAAAAACTTGATTTTTACATTATGCCAATGAATTTAGAAGATCTCCTTGCAACACTGATGAGATACTGGTTGGCCTAAGTTTTGTATACATGCTTCAGTCTGTTCATCAAGACCCAAGAAGTTTACCTCGAGTTTCGGTTTTGAAGATATGTAATTAACGAGGATTTGATCCTCGTTTGTCCATCACATCACTCCTTTTGCTCACAGTATTCTTTGTGATCTTGTGGTCGGGGCCCAAAATATCCTTTTGAATTACTAAGGCCTCTTCGAGCTCCTCCAAAGCCTCATCGAATCGTCCTTGAAGGACTAAGATATCGCTAAGCTGAACGCCCGAACGAGCTGTATCTTGATGATGACCCAACAGCCTCTTTCGTAGCTCTTGAGCCTTCCTGAAGTACCTCTCTGCCTGGTCGATGTAATCTCGCTCATAGCCTTTAGCCGCAAGGGACTTGTACGAGTCAGCGATGTAGGACAAAATTGAAGCTGTCCAGGGGTGGTCACCAAGTTGCTCTTCGTAAACAGAAATGGTGTTCTCTTTCCATATAGCGATTGCTTTTTGATGATCACCACTCAGTCGATAAGAAACTAACAAAGTATGAAGACAAGATATAACTTTTTCATAGTTATAGAAATAGGAAATAGGAAATTTTTTAGAACAGTATGGAGAACATACATGCGGAAGTTCACCTGTTAGGGATCAAGCATTCAGAAATGATTGTTTTACTTTCACGTCGAAGCCTATAGACAAGACTAGTCCCTCTTTCTCGATGAAAATAAGACTCGACGAGATTCCAATACATAAGTTAAGTATTTCCTCTTTTCAGCTTTTATTTAATTATAAATTTATCTGTTTTCCTCTCGGTTTACTAAAAGAAAGCACCCAATTCGGAATTTTACAATGCGCTTTGTCATCCTTTTAGCCTCCATTCAGTCTCCTACAAGGATACGCGGGTGTTATATGAAGTGCAACCCAAAACATTTACTTACTTCCAAGGTCACAGTATCCAGCAGCAACATACAAACAGTCACTTAAAGAATTTCTTATTGAAATTCCTTCCTGTATGAGCTCTCGTCCTTTTTTTTCTTCTCCCTGCAAAACAAACAATTCTTGTAAATATCCCGGTCCAGTCTACCTCAGTGCGAGTGACACCCTATTAGGATTGACGCAAACTCGCGCATTTCCGCTTTTATTGATAAGGTTTCATTAAATTTCCTTCAATCTTCGGTAAACAAGAAGAACTTGCACACTTCGCCTTGGCGTAAGATTCTCATGAGCCCCACAAAAAGAAAATGCAGGGACGGTACTTCAAAAGGAAGCCATTGACAAAATTCCCCTTAAAAAGGAAGAGATAAGAAGGAAAATCAAATTTAAAAGAAACTGGCACACAGTCCTCCTTTATAATTACTATGATCTCACCTGCAATACAAAACATACTCCAAGCTTACTAGCTGTGTGCGCATGCGTTTGGGACTTTTTTTCTTCTTCTGGTAGTGTCCTGCGCATTTCATATGCTTCCTGAAACTTTGCAAGCGTGACTTGGTTTTCTTCTGGGCTGTCTTTGCTGTGAGACACGTCACAGAGACGACGGAATCCCAGCGAATTCAAGCTCTCTGCGTGCCTCTTCTTATCGCCAGACACTTCAGCAATATCACAGCATTTCTGGTACAGCACTGTGCACTCTTTAGGGGGTATTAGAACTTTTGCCACAAAATCCAGCACTTCTGTATTGTTGACGACGTCTAAAACGAAATGTTTGTCATTTGAATCGCTAGAGTCTTCGAGACAATTCTTTAGCGCTTCCATGATGTTGGCTTTCTGCAGTCGAAACTTACGGATCGCAACCGAAGCTGAATTTTTGCTAATAAAATCTTTGCCCAAGACTCTCAGCTGATCAAGGTAATGGTGGTTAAATTTACGCTGAGTGCCACGCCACAGGTCACCCTTGCCTAGTGATTCATTCTCTGTCCGGAAGTAGGCTTGGACCAAAGGATGCATCCTCATCTTTCCATCGGCGTCCCTCTGAAGAAGAGCATACTTGACCATCCTGGTCTTCACATTTTCACAGAGTAAAGGATCTTCAAAAAGAAACTGAATGTCTTGAGCTGTGAACTCCGATGGGAAAACAGAAAAAAGAACAAGATTTTCTTTTAACTCATCGGAAAAATTGTCAAAAAATACTTCCAGCGTGTTATAAACATCTTTCGCACTGATCCTGAAAAGTTTTATTGCATTATTCACGAGCTGTTGGATTAATAGCTCGCGACTAAAACCATTGTTCAGCAAGTCAGAACAGGTCACAAGCAGGAGTGGTATCCCACCACATAATTTAGCAAGTTCCTTGGAGTGTTCCTCGCTACAGTCATCAACAAGACTCCGAAGTAGTTTAGCAGACGAGTCGGGATCCAAAGGTGCGAGAGGGAACTTACAAACGTCTGGCGACACGAATCCAACATGTCTTCGAGTAGTGACTACCAGCTTTACACTCGGGGCAGATTTCACAAGCCATTGAGCGAATTCATCAAATTCCTCGCCCTGTATATTCTCTGTATTGTCTAGTACAATGACAGTTGGGATATTTCGCTCCGATAGTTTACGCTTCGCAAGAGACTTAAAATTAGCAGTTTCCGAATAGGTGCGACTACTCAGTCGATCAAGAATCTCACTGCAGATGTCTGCGAGCTTCTGATGATGACTTTCTACTCGAATATGCGTTACAAACTGGTCTCCCCTTTGCTTTAACAAGTGACTTACACGGATTCCCACTTCAGTCTTACCCATTCCCGGGATGGAAAGAAGAACAACCATACGAAAGGTCTGCAGTTTCGTTAAGATTTTATCTACGTCCACGTCTCTTCCAACAAAGTGTGCGGTTAAATACGGAAGATTTCGTGGTAAACCACCCGGCGACGACGGTATACCTAAAATACGAAAAAAAATAAGTTTGAACAAATACCCAAACGGTAGCCGACCACAACAGTGTCCCGGAAAGAAGTCGAGGATATACCAATGGAATCCTAAAAATAAGACCACAAATAGGCCCTGAAAGATTGTGCTTGTATATTTTTTTGGCATAATAATTTACATGACAAAATTAGTCTGATCCGCGTATCTGAGAAGAAAGATGTGGCTATCAAAGAGAATAACAAGGAACATTAAACAAAACATAAGGGTATGGAAGTTTTTCAATGTGGCCTTTTTATAGCCACGCATTAACTATATCTGGGAGCTTCTCCAGGCAGAATTCAAGTTTGTAAGAGTTGTGTCAAGAAACTTTTGGAAGTCAAGAGCATTTTTAGCAAAGGAAATCTTCAACCCTATGTTGAAGTCGCTGGCAAATACTATGCAAAAAATAACCTTTTGAAACTATCAAATGCAAGGACAGTTAGCTTTAGCATGATTGGAACAGTGTGATCTTATTATTTACACTCTTAAGGGAAATTAGTAGTACCTGTAAAATTTGACAAAGAATTGTGGGAGCAAATGGTAGGGAAGTTATCAAAGTTCCTTGGGAACACATGGTGCGTGAACTCCTTAGTGGAAAGATTCATGAAGAGGTTACTCACGCCTGGCTAACCCTAATAACCCTTTACAATGGAATTCAAGCACCATCTATGTTAAAATTAACTTATACAATTACCAGATGCAAAATAGTCTTTAAGGCCTGATTACGGGTTAAAGCTTAAGGATACACTTGATTTGCTTTTTGTGCTTTTATATCAAGATAGATAGGACAGTACTCGTGGATGCATTGTAATATGACAGAAGTGTAAGTTACTGAGGCATCACAAGTTTTTGTTTGCTAACCAATGTTATCTTCAGTGGATCAATTCCGAAAAATCCCTCCCCCTCCTACGCCCTCAGTCCACTAACTCGAAATCAAACATGGCCGGTCGGATAAACATCACGAGCTTATAAAGTTGGCTTGCACCAATAAGACGCCTGCACTGCAGGCTAGTGAACAAAATGCTTTCATGGTCAACTTTTCAGACAGCAACGATTTACGACGAGGTTTTAAGGCAAGTTTGCGCGACTTTTGGGACGGAGACATTTCAATAAGAACAGCAGAAGGCCATAGATATGTTTTTAGAAGGTAACGATGTCTCCGTTTCGTTACTAACTGGCTATAGAAAATCTTTCATATATCAAGGAGCGCCAGTGATCGATCGCCTCTCTCCTCTAGAAGAAAGTGGTCACTGTATTAATTATGCCGCCTGTTAAAGCTCTCGCAGGAGACCAGGTGTACTATCTTAAAGTACTTGCGCCAAAAGGATTTTCCGCCTTCAACTTTCGGTCTCTGCGAACGGTGCTGCGAAACTAGTTGTTTCTTGCAGCGATTCTATCAACTGAGAAAAGAGCTGCTATTTCTTCACGCCTTCAGCGTAACTATCTCCTAAAGAAATCTGTAAAAACCTTGAGATTCTGCGGCAAATGATCCAACTTTTCTCGACGACCGTAGCACTGTTTACAAATGCAAGTAGAAACCGCGTGGAAGTTGAAAATCTAGTTTCATAGGCGCGATGCTAGTTCAGCATCGTCCTCTTCTACCTCTTTGTTAAAAATCAACCCTAATCTTTTCCTATATCTTTAGAGCAAAGTATATATTTGAACTCGGACGCTGAATCACAAATTTATCCGAAAAATAAATTCACTTCAATGTTGTTGTGTAACTCGATAACCTACACGCTAACACATGCCATTTTGCAAATAAGTATTATCAAGTGACATTATTTTGCGGTCAGTTAACGGCTTAAAACCTTACAGTATGTAAATATACCGACGCAGATAGCGACGTAAAATTGTACAGTCTATAGACTGTGTTAATCAGATTTTACGCTCTTATCTTATTACTGCTCTCAATATGATCGATGCCATACTCAGCGACCAATGAAAGTATATCGAAGTAAGCACGCCGTTTCAAATTCACCAATCTAAGAAAATTCGGTGCTGCTACAATTTGCAAATACAAACTCTTCGACTGTGAAATATACCACCAATTTTGGCGCATTTGTCTCCATTATAAATTTTCTTTTACGCTCTCACAGCAAGATCAACTTTGATTTTGTCGAAGACGTGACAAGAATTAATCTGAGATCTGTCAAATCGCATTATTCACAGAGAAAAAACAATGAAAGCCTCATTTAGTCTTAGCGAATCTATCCATGCACGGGTCTTAATCAGATTGTTACCTTGTTCCTCAATTGAAGCAGCTAGATCAATGCATCCTACGTTTCTTAGAAGCCATACCAAATAGGACACGTCTTCTGGGCAGATTTTATCGTGTTGGCGTAAGAAGTTCAAAAACTCGCGTTGGCTTTTGATAGCGACGAGCTTTCCTCGTGGCAAATAATTACTGTTGTTTTGTCTGACACAGAGAAATTTCATTTTCTCCAACTCTTCCTCAGTTATTTGGTCAGCAATATTAACCAAGAAAGCATTGAACTCTGCTATATTTTGAGCGGGTAGCGAAATATTCAGTGATGGAGTGGAGTGCGCCATGTTTGACAGACTCCCGTGTCAATGTGACTGAAAACGATTCGCGTGACACCGCAAAATGTTGAGGGTGAGTCTAGTCACGCAGAACGGCAACAAAATTGGCTGCATATATATGTAGCCTACTCGCTTCGCCTTATTACCGAAGCCAAACCTAAAAAGCCACATCACTATTTACGCCGTGATGGGTTAGACAGCCTTTTACTTCGAGTTGTCTGTTGATAGCGAGAATAAATATTTGTAAGTTGTCTCACACAAAGAGTGGTAGAATCAATTCTTACTGAGGTTTTGTCGCGACAATCTTGATGAGTAGTAAATAGCAGACCAATCAAGGTTGTATCTCCCCTTGCTGAACTTAGGTGGTGGAAGGCGAAGTACAGTAGCGCTCGCGTATACGTTAACCGAAAAACGCGCCAAAAATCGCATGCAATTGCGATTGAAGAAAAATGTGCGCGTCAAAAAATCGCGCGTGTGCGTAGAGGTTTGATTACATCTGCCCCATTAGTATGTATGAGGTCGACCTTTTTTTTTTCCTTTTGTTGGCAGTTTATCGTTCTAAAGAATAGGCTGCAATGTTATAGCATGAAAATAATACACGGCTACCAGCAACAAGCAAACTTGTTCGTTTCAATCACTGTTCGAACCGACCTTCCCGATAATCATATGCTGTTACATACTAATAATACGACTTCATAATCGGAATATAAAAACGATTTCTCGTTTTTCAACGGAATTCATTTGTCACTTCACACTTCGTATAATTAAGAAAAAACATTCTTCGCAACGGCTTGGGAATGTGTTTAAAGTAAAGTTATTCTCAGTGTATCGTAATTCGGTAGAAGCAGCTAAGGCGCCCGTTTGTAACCATTTGTCGCGTTCTGAATGCAAACCCCCGCACAAATGCTTATTTCATAGCTTTTATCATCGGGGAACATGCTGTTCTTGAAAACTGGTTCATTCATCTCGCCTTTTGTACAAAAACTACTAAGTTCTACTCGCTTATATTAATGGTGTTGTGTTTCATCAGTTTGGTTACCTTTCACCACAATGACTTGTTCTGACTCGTATACAAATTTCTATTGTTTTAATATTGGTCAAATCATCGATAGATGTTCAGCAAATTGCTCGAAGAAGGGAAGGGAAAAATTAAATGCAGGACACATTCGGCCCAAGTTTTAGACTCGCCGGCGCGTGCAATTAATCAAAACCTCAATACGGCAATAATCATTCTTGTGTCAGTTAAGCCAATGGAAGACTTTGTAAAATTGGTGACTCCTGAAGGAGCCACTTAGGCGCTCTTCCTTCGCGTCGTACTATAGCAGCGCTTTCGGTTTTCAGACGAATTTTCGTCTTTGACATTGCAAATTACTAAAACTTGACCTTTCATCGTTGTAGTCAACATAATTTGCTCCGCAATCAAACAAATCATTACGTGCGATGTAAAACGAAACTGTTTACATTCCGTTGAATAAAACACTGAAGTGAGCGCCGATTGCAATGAATGTAATGAGACATCTTTCACAATCTTAAATAATATATTTTCGTTCTGTTCCTCATCGAAAGTAATCGAGGAAACTTCGAAGTTTCGAAGAAATCATCATAGGTGATGCAAACACCAAATTGTTGACATTGCGCTGCGTAAACATTCAAGAGAGCATGTTAGTGAGTATTCGCTTCGTTACTCGCTTCATAATACACTAGTTTCGATGTCTTATGTAAGTGACATTTTCCTTCCCACCTGGGTAAAATTTCCGCACAGCTCCAAACTATTGAAAAACAAATCTGTGTTCCCAGTGGAAATGTATTTTTTTGTCATTGTTTTCTCTCTCCAAGAACTGATTGCATAATGTAGTATGGGGCTGTGCGGAAATTTTACTCCCCCCTGATTCATCAACAACTCAAATCAATGAACTCCACTGCTACTGCTTGTTATTCGATAAATTTGCAAAGCGAAGCGACAGGTGTGTGTCTAACATGATAGCTTTTTTTCATTACGTAAATTTTCCGTTGTCGACTCGTCGCTTTTTCAAACCTGAAAGTTATTTGTTTTACACAACAATGTCCTACAAAGAAAACATAGCACTGAATAACAATGGAACATGTGTCGCTAATTTTTTTCGACCGTGCGCGAAAAGATTGTATATGCGCGTCTGACAACCATGACATTCGTCTGCGCTGTTAACATATACGCGAGCGGTGCCCAGAGTAACCTTGAAGGCTAGAGCACTTTCAAGTCTCATTCTTGATTCACTGTAATCACAACTTAATTTTGACTTTCCAACAAAGCGAAAATAGAACGCCCTAGTAGCTACTAAAGATATTCTCCTGGTCTCTCAAGTAGCACTTTCTGTACTTAAAGGGGCTAAAGGTAACTTAAAAGACCTATAAATCCAAATATCAAATAAATATTTTTTCTAAAAAAATTGATT